CAGGAGCCGCGGCCGGGCCTCAGGGCCATCAGCTCTGGGGGCTGAGGCAGCCCTGCTCCCCACCAAGTGCCCGCCCTCCGAAACTACACGGTGGAATTAATAATCCATCTGAGGAAGCTGAACGTTCCTGTCTCAGCCTTCCTGCCAGCAAACGGCTGAGCAAACATCCCACATCACTTGCGCGTGAACTTGGCGTCTCCTAGCAACAAGGCCCGGGGCATCTGCCGTGAAACTTCCCGCAGCCCCTGCGTCTCCTCAGCACACAGACGCCCCTTACCGTCCCCGCAAATGACAGCACGTGATCAACGTGAAGGGTGGTGTTTTAAAAACTCTGTATTCAATTATTCACACTGAAGGGGAGCCATTAAAATTATGAACATCTCTAAATATATTTCATGTATCGTACATATATATACTTTATATGTATAATTACATATCGACAGAAGACTTCTCGCTGCTCCCAAGTGTGTGAGTAGAACAAAGGTAGGCTTCGCAGTGCCACGCCCATGTGTGCGTATATACTGGCTGCTTGAGTGACGGATTTATTTACAACTTGCCTTAGGTTATAATAAATGATTATTGTTCTATTGTACAAACATGACGGGAAAGGGTTCTTTTAAATACAAAGACTGCAAATGGATACATGAAAAAATTACACACATGTACAATATGTATAATTTATAAATGCAAAATTAAGACCTCTTTAAGTTATTGCACTTGTGCATTTTACAAAGGTTTTTGTTACACGTATAAAATAACTTCTTGAAATTTACTCACTTGTCAACTACAGCGCAGTTGGATATGGTTAACTGGAAATTCCTTCTCCTTCCGAGAGAGGGCCCGTGGGCACTTGGGGAACAGACCCATTGGGTAGAAGCCGGGGCACGGGGCGCGGCGGTCTGGGGCCCGGGGACCCGCTCCCCAGGGCAACGTGGCTCAGCCAGGAGGCGGCCACCGGCAGACCCTCAAGTGCCTGAGCCGGGCAGGCGCACGAAATCGCTTGTTCATGGGACTTGTGAAGAAAGTCACCTTTCCTTTTCAGAAAGATCGGAAATGCTGCATTTCCACAAATTTTGGTAACTGTGTCACAGTGTTTGGAGCGAGCACGGCGGTTCAGACGGGCACTGGCCGGGCCCGGCAACAGGTGGGGGCGCTGTAGAGCCTCACCGCCTGCAGGCAGCGCCGCTGTCCTTTAGGCTTGCGCACCGACTGAACACACAGAACGGTCGCCGCACACGGGTCCGGGGAAGGCAGTGCGCCCACACGGCACTGACACGGGCCATCTGAGGTGTCAACTAGGACTGCGGTGCCCACCACAGCGTGGCATTTCAGGCGGGCGGGAGCACTAGATATGCTTTTAAAACCTCGGTTACAGCAACAAGAACGGTCCATGGAAACTTCTGCAGACAGGCCGCACCGCACAGGCAGGAGCTGAAAACCGGCCCGAGGACCCCGCCTTCTGCACCTGCCATCTGCCCGGGTCCCCCGGCGGGACTGTGGGCTGGCAGTTACCCCACGCTGTGCCCTCTCCACCCCCCTAAAGTACAGTCACAGGCAGGAAAAAGCTTAGTGTTTGAGTGCAGAGAGCGATGCTGCTTCAGATTTTAAACATGTTTCTTGGGAAGCATCTACGTGTTGCTCTGTGTTCCATCTTTTGATGATTTAGAACCAGAACAGCGCTGGTTCTTTTCTGTTTTTATCATCACAGAAATGCATCTAGTGCTTCAAACAAAATGTCCAGTTAAAAAAAAAGACAGAAAACAAGAAGTATACTTACTGGATCGGGGAGCACTAATTAATTAAAATTTAGGATGAGTCTTTAAAGAAATTGGCAAAATGCATATCAGGATAAATACTTGTGCAAATGTAAAAATATCACAGCCACGGGCCCCGGACAAGCACAGGCAAAGTAACCGCCGCGCACTCAGCTGCCTCGCGCTGTGCAGCGATTTGCAGCTCAGACGCACGCTCGCAACAGAAGGGACACGCTAATGTGACTAAATCAAGGTCTTTAAAGAGTTAAGCCCTACATCAGCAACGTGTAGAAAGCAAACACATGTTGGAAATATGTAAAGATCCAAGTGATTTTCAAAATCTAAATCATGCACACGGTCCTGAAGCTCAACAAGGTCACATCGTAGCAGAGTTACAGCTCTTGAAGCTGCAAGACAAGACAGGACAGTTCATGGGTGGCAGTCTCAGCGGCCAATGCAAATAAGTCAGGTCAACGATCGAAACCTGCCATCGAGAAAGGTCCTGGTCACTGAACTTGGTGACTTTAACCAAGGATGTCTTTCAATGTCTTCAATTATAGTAAAGCAAGAGAAGCAAAATAAGAAATACACGAATGAAGATGAAAAATGACAGTATTTAAAAAAGGCACAGGCCAAGGCATGGTGAATAATTTAGTCCTATTTAAAGCTCAAACCTTAACTTTGAGTTCAAAGACTAGAACGTAACACTCAAAAACTAAGTTTATTTTTAAAAACCTAGGCAGCGGAGGAGGCGCGTGGCTAGACTGCGTCACGTACAAACACGCCGAGTGCGCCTGAACACTCCAATGAAGCGGAATGCACTGAGACCGACGATACAAAAGTTTTAATAAATCTAAAAATCATGCTAAAAAGAGGAAACCTACACTGTATGAGTCTCGTTTTGGGGGAGTTCTGTTTGGTCGCTGTGGACGGTCACCGGGTGCGGTGGTGTCTGCACAAGGGACGGTCGGAGAGGAGGGGCCACGGAGGCTTCGCACAGGCTCCTGAGAAAGAGCCGGCGCTGGGCCCCACCGCCGCCCTCGGAGAAGGGCCATTCCCAGAAACTACCCCCCGAACCCACTGCGCCCTCTCAGGCCAAATCAGTTAAAGCGCAGCCAACTGCTAACATGACGCTTGTGTTTTTTAGGTTATCATTCCACTGCCCGAGATCCATGTTTCATGTCGTTGGCGTGCATCTCCAAGGAAATTTCTAGTTCGAAAATATTCACTATCTCTGAACCAACAGTGGAATAACTGCATTTGATCCCCAAAGTGGTATCTGTTATAAATCAGCACAACCAATGAAAAAGTCTGCAAATCGAACATTCTACCAATACTTATGGCTGATTACCAGGTTGGACTGAATAGGAAAAGTTAGGCCGACAGAAAATACCAGATTAAAGAGAATCTCATCAAAGCTTTTGGTGAGAAAAACCACCTACCCTTTTAAGAAAAGATTTGAGGGGGGAAAAAAAGATGAAAATGCAACTATGAAGTTTGCTAAATGTATCTGCCAAAATAATAGAAAAATAATCCTAACTGCATTTTTTCTCAAAAACAGATCACTAACTAAATACCACTTCATCCTGCAACCATGTATTTTAGACAGATCTGTGATTCCTAAGTAAATCTTACACATGGTAAAAGCAATATTAAGTTTACATTAGAATTTAGTCCTTGGCTCAAACTTTGTTTCTACTATGATGATATTTCACAAGAAATCAACCAACCAATAAATCCACACATATCTCTTTGGAAAACTGTTTAGAGGTCACGTAGTGCACCTGGTTACATCAAAGTAAAAGAATATTCTGTAATAATCTGCCAGAATAGCAGCCTTCAAATGCAAAATAGCCATCGGTCCCCCAGGGACTGTTTTCTATAGCAAGAAGCAGGACTCATGGATTCTTTTACAATCAATCCTTGTAATTAGACAACCACCTTAATGACATTCGACCCCCCCCTTGCAATTCAGTCTCCAAGTTAATTAGTTGGCTAAATTCGCCTTCGTGATTGAAGTTGAATTTGATGGGGAACATTCATAAATTTAGATGACAAAAAATATAAAACCTTCAAAAAATGCAATTCTTTGAAAACACTACCATGAAAAAGGATGCTTTCTCATCAGTTCTCAAACATTATTACATTTTTCAACATGAAAAATCACTGTTTTTGAAGAATGCAGCTGATTTTTATTTTTCATAGGTGTTTCTCACACACGTATGTCTCAATGCGTGTCTACGTACATACACATGTGTGCACACCTTACATACATGTGTGTGTCTAGCCAGAGCGGTATGTCCCTCTCCAGCTATTCTGTCTGACCGCCTATTGTACAATTACAACAGCAGCTCGGCCTCCATGGCGGGGCGATAGTGACTTGCAGAAGCCCACAAGGAAATTGAACACATGGTGTTAATTTTCAAAGAACAATGTTTATGTATAGCTCTCTTTGCTACAACATAAATAAACCATGTTGTAGAATCAACTGATTTGCTTTTGCAGAAACCAAGCTTATATGAACAACACTGTGTACGGTATTGAGTATGTAGAAGAATATTTTTAAATGTATTTTATTAAAAGTATTATTCCAAGTTCCTGCCACATAGATAGCCGATTTGTTATGGAGCAGCCTGCCGCATTTTGAGACTCCAGCTAATTCCTTCAGGTCCGGACTAACCATAAGTTACAGGGTCAGAGGTCACTGTGTCATTGTGCTAAGTATCCTCATAGCATTAACATGCACCAGAATTACACTCCTTGGCTTTTAATCCTCGTAGAAAAGAGTCCACACTTACTACCTTTGTCTGTGTTCTCAAAACGTTTACACTGTGGAGCAGTGGAGGAGGAGTAGCCGCCTACCAGAAAGATACAGGACAACCCTCGGCCTACAGGTTTCTGCGCAGACACTGTGCATGGAACCCGCCTCGCCCGGCACTGGGCTCCCCTCCTTCCCTGTCCTGGGGGCGGGCCTCGCGCAGGAAGACTGAGTGGCCGGAGGAGGGGACTGGGGAGATGGCGCAGCAGGTGAAAGAAAAGTTACAGAAGACAAAGCTTACGGTTTAACTTGGTTTTAGGAGAAATGAAGGCTAATGAAATAATTTGGAGAATAAACCTTTCCTTCTGAATGTGACTCAAATTCTGAATGACATGTGAAAATATAAAATCATTATTCAAAATTCACATTTTTCATCCATAAGACTTGTCCATTAAAAAAAAAATTCAGATGCCTTGCTTTGATTTTGTTCTTTATGCCAAATGACTCGTGAATTTGCCAAGACTGTAATGAAAATTTTTAAAAAAATATTCTTTGACACCTTCTGAATCGATAGCGGGGCTTCCACGATCGCGCACGGTGCGCGTCTGCGGCTCTTCTCCGGGGACAGGGAGCCTGCTCACGGCCCGCGGCGTCCGGCCTGCTCCCCCGGGCCCCTGCGTGCATGCGGAAGAGCCCCCGGAGACGGCCGGTCCGAGTCCGCCAGGCTCTGAGGCAGGGACCGTCCTCCTTCGCTGCTTGCGGAGCGACGCCTCTCAGGCGGCCGCCTCGGGGACCTCCGTGCCGAGGCTGCCCGCTACAGTTCACGCTACTGACAAGTGGACCACACAGGAACGTTCACAATAGTAACGTGGAAAGATTCCTATTTATAACCAGCAACATCAAAGCAACACTGGTGTTAAAGCCCAAGTCCAGCATCACCCTAGTACCATGGTAAACCCGCCCTGGAGAGACGCGGTGGAAAGGACCCCCGGGACCGCCTTCGTCCCTGCCCGCGCGGCTGGGCAGCGTCGCCCCGCCGGCAAAGGCCAGCTCGGGAGCCCAGCGCAGGCCCGGGGATGCTGCCGCCTGGCCCCGGGGCCCTGCTGGGCCGCTGTCTGGGACGCGTCACCGACGAGATGGGCAGGGAGTCGTCTGCGGGGTGGATTTTACTCGATGTGACCTTCTGGGCTAGGCGGGCATCCTGTTTTCCAGGTGTAGGTTCCCCCACGAAAATAAAAGGAAGAAAAGTCAGAGCAGCAGGAGGAGCGCCTGCAGGCGGCGCGGCGCGGCCGTCAGTCATCGATCTTGACGGGCAGGGTCTCCGAGGTGCCGGGGGCCGCTGGCTGGGAGGACAGCCACACCGCGCTCTCCTCCCCGCGGATCACCTTCTCCCACTGGCTGAGGTTGTTCCTAGGAGACAAGATGCAGCGACAGGCGCCGCTGGGACGTGGGGTTCCGGCCTGCGCCCCCGCAAGGAGCCGCCCGCCCTGCCGCACCCTCAGCCCTGCCTGCAACGTCACTAGCTGGCGGCCCGGCAGCCTCCGCTCCCCCACGCCCCCCTGAGGACACCGCAGCGCGGTGTCCCCAGAAGAGCTTCAGACCAGCAACACCGGGGGCCCCTGGACCCAGAAGGCAGGGGCAGAGAGCGGGCTGGGCCCAGGACACGTCACTCGGAACCGGTCAGGAGTGACACAGCCGTGCGCCATCGGGTTACTGCCAGGACGCGTGGGTCAGTGGACAGGAAACGGGGACATCTGGGGGCATCAGGAACAGCCAGGGCAACTGGGCTCTGTGGGGCGTCCCTGCCACGTGACACTCGAGGCCTCGCTGTGTGCACCGTGTGGTACCTAGAAAGACACCGTGAGCAGCACCTGATACCGACTCATGAGTGTCCCTGTCTCAGTAAAAACTGCACTTGCGCTCTGGTGACCTTAAGTCTCAGTGCGGCCTGGAGTGTCCTCCACGCTCCCAGCCCTTCCCTGTCGGTGCCTGCGCGTCCGGCGTGGCAGCCTCGTGACCCCTTCGGTCAGGTGCCGGCCACCCTGCAGGCCCCCACCTTGCGTGGACTCACGGTCACAGGGAACAGGCTGACAGCTCTCGGGGAGAGAGGGCAGTGGGGCTGGGCGGCAAAGGTGACGGGATAGCGCAGAAACGAGAAAGAAAAAGAAAAAAGAGCCCCCAGAGCGGACAGCAGCGTGGTGACGGCCAGGAGGAGGGGGCGGGGAGGGAGGTGGGCGGGGACGGAGGGGCTGGGCTCAGGGCGGCGAGGCAGCAGAGCGCGCAGAGGCTGTACCAGAGAGCTGCACCCTGGACCCCGAGGTCATTTTACAAACCAATGTCACCCCAGTAAATGCAACAGACACTAAAATAGAAGACAAGAGAGCGGCAGGTCGTGGAGAAACCGGAAGCTAGAACAGGTAGCAGGTGCTGCGCTTCTTCTGGGAGGAAAACGAAGCTCAGCGAGGAAGGCCACCCCCACTCCAGGCCCCGTCCCGTTCCCGGCTGAGCTCCCGGCCTAACGAGCAGCCTGACGAGCCGCTCCTGTCTCGTCTTTTCACCCACAGTCCTGGGGGTGGGGAAGGGGCACTGACTCATTTTTTTTTTAAATGTCGTGCTCCTTTCTGGGGCGTGAATAACTGGACGTTCACACTCCTGGCACATACGCGACACCTGGGCACACGCACAGCCGTGCCGTCAGGGCACGGGGAAGGCACAGGCGCCCGCCACGGAGGCCCCCGCCGCGCCCCGCCCCCGCCACGCCCCCGCACTCCGTACCTGCAGGCTCGGAGCAGGGGCTCCGTGGGCGGGAAGATCCGCGTGAGGGTGCTGTAGCAGGGGATGGCCACCGCGTTGTAGAAGCCGAGCTGCGTGGACACGGCAAGAGACAGCGCGTGAGACACTGGGGCGGCGCCGCTCCCCGGCGGCAGCGCCTCGCCCCCCGAGCGTGACTGCGAAGCCAAGGGTTTAGTTCGGCTACGGGACACGGGGCTCCGTGAACACCGACCCAGGGCGCGTTTAAACATGTGTTAAACGCGCCCTGGAAGTGGAACACAGAAAAACTTAAAACATACAGTAAAGTTACGGCGAAACCCGAGAACAACGTTCAGTGAGTCTGCTTATAGGTGAGGGGCGTTACAGTTCGCGGGCTGTTCTTGTCTCAGGTCCAGTCCAGTGCCCTCCCGGAGACGCGCCCAAGCCCAGCCCCTCTGCCTGCCCAGCGGTAGCCTCCAATTCGGGAACTCAGCGGGGCACGCAGCCTGCTTGGCAGCCCGCCCGCTCTGCGGGCCTTGCCCGGTCTCCCGAGAGTGTATCTATCCGCCCCCCGCTCCCTTTTCCTAACCTACGACAAGTCCCATTGCCTTTATCTCGGTTCTCAACAGGTCCGATTCCACAGGTTTTCAGCTGTGGCACCTTTAAAACCAGACTTAGGCACACTTCTCCTAGGAATTCTGGGCCACCAGCAGATACACGATGCTAGCTCGGCCTGGCCAACGGAAGGACAGGCGCAGTCAGAAGGACATGGTTAGGCCCCCGTCTTAAGGTCTATTAGAAGATAAATCCCAAGTATAGTGACCAGCCAGACATAAAGGGATGAAGCAGTACGAGTCGGGACAACGTGGCAAATGCGATGCGATCTCAGGAAGGGAAGAGGCTGCCACCGTAGGGCAGGACCGGCCGGCCCGACTCCAGGCGGGGGGTCTGACCGCCACGCTGGCAAGGGACACAGGCCGCGGCGCACTGCGGGTCCCGGCCCGGCCACGGCACAGACACACACGCAGCCCCTGGCTGCGCCGGTGCCTCCTGTGCATGGACGTCTGTCCTGACAGGTTAAATGAAGTGGGAAATTGGAGAACTTATTCAAAACTATCCTCCTGTGAATCTTCTGAAAGCATCTCTACCCTGAATTCTGTATGATAATTCCTTGTCCATAACTGACTTCCCTTTGGTGACATTAGACGATTGGTGGTTTAAAAAGACTGTAATCTTGAGAAATTTATTATACTATCATGTATAACACGGGGGAAATTAATAAGGCCCAAGAGCTCGCAAAACATAAAGGAATTAACATAAATTACATATTTTTAATGTTATCCCCTGGACAGGGAATAAGTCCATTTACGATGAGACACAACTAAAAACGTACTAAGATACCGTGCACTGTTGGTCAGGAAAAGCAGACCTAATCAGAATCTATAATGGTACCCTCCAAAAAAAAATCTTTGTGCATTCAATGGCAAGATGTTTTCTGCTTGTTGAAAACATATTAACAATCAAACTTGTCCATCCTCTCTATTTCAAGTCAAAAGAGAACGCCCGTTTACAGCAGTTACGCCTGGCGGAAGGGCTGCCGACACGGCTGGCTGCGGATTAGTGGAGACGGGCTCTGTCCTCTGACCACCTCCTCCCGGCCCACGCCACGGCCGAGCCCTCAGCTTCCGAGGTGGGCAGCAGCCTCGGGGCAAAACCGGAGGCTGAACTCCCTGTGGGAGCCACCTCCCGTCACTGTGAGCGAGGCAGCGGGGGCGCCCGAGCGCGGAAGGTCTGCAGCCGCGGGGAGCGCGGGCAGAGAGGCGGGTCTGCCCCATGCGCGGCCCTCCGAGGGGAATCGCGGAGGCCCCGCTCTCCCTGCCAGGCCCGAGGCGGCCGAGCGCTGCACGCACAACGCAGGAGGCGCCCGCCTGCCCTTCCCGTGGGGCTTGCCCGCCGCCCGACGGCTCGGTTCCTACCTGGCCCTGCGGGACTTCGTCCTTCTTGTCCCTGTCCATCATGGGGATCGGCTGAATCCCCAGCCTCTTCATCTCGTCGCCCTGAAAGAGGTGGGGACAGTCATGCTTTCTCAAGCCATCGACAGTTATAAAATCATGGCACCACGGAGTTCTTCCCTGTATTTATAAATTTCCTCCAAAATGAGTCATGTTTTTGACAGTGGACACAACAAAGCGTCCCAACAATGATAACATGCCATTATCTGGTTTTTATCTTGAGTCCCCTGCACGGAATGCCTGGAAACTCAGCTGTCGCTCTGGGTTCTGTGTCGCAGGAGTTGGAAGTGATAAGAGGAGATTGAGTGGATAGCGGGGAGGAACATGAACAAAACATGGAACAGCTTCAAGGCCTTTCCCCACTTGTTTTTAAATGATTTTCATGTGTGTTGAACTGGGCACAGCTAGGCGTTAGGGATACGGATCAATAATGTGTTGGCAAAGATGCAGTGTAATCGGCCATGCGTCACTGGAAAGGTGACAACTACAGATGTTCACTAAAGAGTCACAGTGTCGCAGGCCCTGGGCCGAGCGGCCTACACATGCTCTGCCCTCCACTTCTCATGAAATGCCACGTGGCAAAGTGTCTTCGGCAACGCAGCGCCCTCGGCACAGGCGGAGCCATCTGAACCAGAGAATTCTATCCTACCGGCCCCTGGATAATTCGGGAACGGAAACTAAGGAGTAAAACACACATTTCTGATCATGTAGATAACTCCACCAAGAAAGAGCATTCAAAGAACAAACAATTCACACGCCAGGAGCACCACGAGCCTGCCACCGAACTGATGCGTGCAACGCCGACGCTGCCCGCCGTGGCCGTGGCCCGAGCGCGCGGCGCTCGGGGACGTCTGGCTGCCGGCCGTGCGGCCATGGCGCGAGGCTCCCTCGGGTGCCCGTGCAGCGCCTACTCCAAGGACACGGGCGGTGATGACTTTTGAGTGAACGAGCAGGAGGGGCACCGTTAAGGAAGGGAAACCACTGCACCACTGTGCAGCGAAGGGCCGCTCAGCTCTTCCAGCTGAGGTCAGAGACGCGACGCACACGTCCAAGTCAGGGGCGGCAGGAGCTGGTCTCACGTTCTATCTGCGCAGACTCCAAATTCATCATCGTGTGACTGACCGTAGTTTTTTAAGATAACTTGCCACGTGAGCAACTCACCCATGGTCACCGAATCACCCACGTACTTATTTTCTCGTCATTTCCCCCATTTCTTTATATTCTCTAATTCGCATAAAAATCAAGGACATACCTCAGCCCAGAACTCTGCGTATATGTCATTGGCTGTCAATTTTGTGACTGGCCACAGCTTCGTCACAGAACAAAGGTCGCAGGCAGTCATCATCAAGCCGATGACACGGTCCCTGGAACACAGGAGCACAGACCTGGTCAGCACCTGCTCATCGCCCTGCGGCCCTGCAGGGTCGGGCGCGAGGCTGTGGGGTGCGCGCCACACGTGGCGGCGCAGGGGCCCAGAGGGGGACGCGGCTGGCAGGCGGGGGCGGACAGCGGCTTGGGGCCCGCCCGGCCGCAGTGGCACGGACGGTCAGCGCTGCTGCCCTGACCCCGCCACGACCAGGGAGCACGTCCCCGTGGCCACGGCACTGCTGTTGAGAGCCGACGCGACGTGGATCTTGGCCGTGACGTGGAACGGCTCCGAGGCCTTTCCCCCACTTGTTTTAGGTGACGTTTGCGTGTGTTGCCCTGGGCGCAGTGAGGCGTTGGAGGGAGCACCGATCAGGACCGCGTGAGCGAGAACGCTGCAGCAGCCCACACCCGCTGGGCCCTTCGTAGCCACACAGCGGCCTTCCATTTGCGTGGGTTCTGGGGACTGAGCACAGGGGACAACCTCGAAGGAGGCATCCATCCAGCCCTTCCTCCGCTGCCTGTGAGGGACCCTGAGGGGCACAGAAATGACGCGCCCCCTTCGAGGCGCAGGCAGGTACAGGCCAGGCAGAGGGGCAGCAGCTCCGCCCACTGGCCTCTCCTGTCTCCATGTCCGGGGACCGGGGTGACAGGTGCCATCTCCGGACGCTTCGGAAACGCCAGCCTCCCGCCCGAACTGAGTTTTCTCTTCCAGTTGCTTTCCACTCACAGCTATGCGTTCCATGTCTGACTTTTTAAAAATGTGGTTTGGACAAATCCATCCTCTTGAAGAAAAATAAACGTCGCTTAAAGAACTCAGACAGACAGGTCTCCTTCATTTTAATGGATGTGGTCTAACGACAGGCGCTTACTGAAATGACCTGCACCTTAACGGCAGCACCAAGCACTGGTGGCTAAGGAATTTCCACACGCTGAGTTTGACTTTTATGAAGCAACTGGCGTGATTGTAAAGGCCCACGACTGAGAAAGATCCAACCCTGGGTAACTGCCGAGTAGGATGGCGGCCTGCCCGGCTGGCGCCTGCGTTCCCAGGAGTCTCGGGGATCCCCTCCCGCCCACGGCGGCCGTCCCCTGGCCGTCCACAGACACTGGCCAGGCGTGGGCCCCGCCCTGTCCCCGCCAGGACGGACGACACCGGCCGACGGTGCCGCCTCCTCCACCTGCGGGGGAGCTTCAGACGCAGCTGCGGGGCCAAGATGCCCGGACCCCGGGGAGACCCTGCTTCCCTCTCGTCCGTCATTCGATGCCAGCCAGTCGCCAGGCCCTTTCCTTTAGCCCGTTCGCCTGATTAAATAATCTCTTCTCCAACCTTGTTTTTCACAAGGACACATGACGACAGGGTAGCAGGCCTCTCGCAGGGCAACGAGGCAACGTCGAGACGTCGGTGAGATGACACGCCCCCCGCCCCCCGTGACCACAGGCCGGGGCCCGGGGGACGGCCAGCTCCTTGATGTGACCGGGGACTTGGTGTTCTTTTGATTAGGTAGTTTCCGAAGGACTTTGGGGCTCAAAGGAAGGATGTTTATTTCTTGATTTGGGCTTCTAAACCAACGGGTATGTTATCTGTCTGCTCAACACATAAATTCACTTAAACAGAAATAATAACATGAAAAACACTTATTTTGTTTACAAACAATTATTTCAGGACATTGAAATAATTCAAACTTATTTGATCTATAGTTACAAAAAAAAAGAAAGAAAGAAAGAAAAAAAGAAACCGCTGGCTCAACATTTTAGTAAGCTTTATCTCGTAAGTGTTTTCACCTCAAAAATCTACGAAACAAAGAAACGCGTTAGTCAGTGGACACTGGGAAAGGCCTGGGACCCGCTTTCCCGCTGCGAAGGCCCCACAGGGGGACGAGGGCGGGAAAGACAATGAGTTCGTTGTCATTTAGATCTCACTGTCAAATTCCTTAGACGAGACAATTTAACAGTAGTTAATTAACTGTTAACCGATAATGAAATAAAATAAATTTATATTCTATACTGCTAGTAAATAAAGTTACGAATTTTTTACTCTCAATGACAAATTAGTTACAACTTTTCCAGCTCTGTATCTAAATTGGGTCAAGTGTTATTCATGTGTTTAATATCATACCCTTTCTTTGATGTGCGCTTAAGTCTAAATTAAGAAAAGCCTTTGGAAGAACTGGAGCAAAGGAATGCCTTTGAAAGGCACAAATATTCCCTGGGATGCAGTCAAAATAAAATAATAAGTTTAACTCATATCTTTGGGCACCACTTATGGGCTCCATTTCTGGAGAGTAAATGAAAGATGAAGATTGCCTTCGCAGATACGGATGATACATTTCAACAGTTACAGTAATGAAACAGTATGATCCCAGTTAAGAACTGGGTAGCATTGAGGTGGCTTACAGAATCACAAGAATTGATCAACTTTATATAAAAAATACATTCAGTTCAGTGGAAAAATGAATTAGTAATTAATAGTTACACTCATAAAACTCTAACTGCAGAGGGACGAAGCACTAAAACGGGGGTGTCCAGCCTGCGGCCCAGGATGGCCAGGGGTGCGGCCCAACGCAAAATCGTAAATTTACTTAAAACACTTGTGTGCGACGACGTGTCGCAATGTGTTTACTGGGTGGCCCAAGACAACGCTTCTTCTCCCAGTGTGGCCCAGAGATGCCAAAAGGTTGGACACCCCTGCAAAATAAAGATTAAAATTATATAAATACACAAAGACAATTTTATGTACTCGTCATGTAACCTGAAAGACAAGGAAGGCCTTCTTAAGCAAGGTAGGAAACCAGGTTTAATAAAAACAAAGGACAGACTTGCTCCATAAAATTAAATTTACTTGTAGTCAAAAGAAAATCTGAACAAGAGACACGAAAGAAAAAATAAACAAATGAGATGACATCGAACTAAAAAAGTTCGTTCTGTACGACAAAGGAAATCAGGAAGAAAATAAAAAGACAGCTCATGAAATGGGACAATATATTCACCGGTACATTTGATAAGAGGTTAATATCCAAAATTTATAAAGAACTTATAAAACTCAACACCGAAAAAAATCCCAATCAAAAAATGGGCAAAGGACCTGAACAGACACTTCTCCAAAGAGGACATACCGATGGCCAACAGACAGGTGAAAAGGTGCTCAACTTCACTAATCATCAGAGAAATGCAAATTAAAATCACAATGAAATACCATCCCTTACCTGTCAGAACTGCTATCATCAATAAACCAACAAACAACAAGAGCTGGCGAGGATGTGGAGGAAGGGGGACCCCTTTGCACCGTTGGTGGGAATGCAGGTGGTGCAGCCACCGTGGAAAGCAGGATGGAGATACCTCCAAAAATTAAAGATGGATCTGCCTTCCGACCCAGCTATCCCACTCCTGGGAATATATCCAAAGGAACCCAACACACTAATTCGAAAGAACACGCGCACCCTCTGTTCACGGCAGTGTTATGTACAATCTCCAAGACACGGAACTAGCCCAAGTGTCCATCCGTAGATGGGAGGATAAAACAACTATGGGATATGTACACGATGGAATTCTACTCGGCTGTGAAAGAGAAGAAAGTTTTACCCTTTGTGACAGCACGGGGGGACCTGGAGAACACTATGCTCAGTGAAATAAGCCGGTCAGAGAAAGACAAATACCATGTGATTTTACTTACATGTGGAATCTAATGAACAAACTGAACTGACAAGGAAAACGGAGACAGACTCATAGACGGGGAGCAGGCTGACGGCTGTGAGGGGGGGCGGGACTGAGCAAAAAGGGAAAAGGACGCGTGGACGACAGCGTGGGGATTGCAGAGAGAGGGGAGTGCAAGGGGGTTAAATGGTAACCGAAAAACTACAATAAAAAATAAAAAAAAATATGTAAACAATAAAAAAAGAAAAAAGAAAATCTCAACATGTTGGGTTGGCCAGAAAGTCTGTTTTCTTTCTGTAAGATGGCTCTAGTGGTGCCGACTTGTCTTTAACTTCATCTGAAGTACAATTCCGTTAGACTGTATTGCGGCAGCTGTCGTGTCGGCGTGCATTTAAAAAAAAATCAAAGCTGGTGAATTTTTATGTAGCCATTTTAATATTGAAGATGGAAGAAAACATGCAACATTTTCAGCATATTATGCTTTATTATTTCAAGAAAGGTAAAAATGCAACTGAAATGCAAAAAAAAAAAAAAGACAGACTTATGTAGTATATAGGGAAAGTACTGTGGCTGATCAAATGTGTCAAAAGTGGTTTGCGAAGTTTCATGCTGGAGATTTCTCGCTGGATGAAGCTGCACGGTCAGGTGGACCAGCTGAAGTTGAGAGCAATCCAATCGAGATATTAATTGGGAACAATCAATGTTCTGCCATGCGGGAGATAGCTGACATACTAAAAATATCCAGATCAATAAAGTTATTGGTGAAAATGAAAAATGTGTCTTTTATTTTACAGAAGAAAACTAAATGAACTTTTTGGCTAACCCAACAATTTTTGGAAATCACCTAAAGAAAATAATTATAACATACAAGAGAACACATTAACATCCCTAACAAAAACATACGTTGCCAACTGATTTATAAAAAAGTAAACAATTCAACAAAAATAGACAAAAGCTATGAAGAGCCAAATACATCCAAGTAGAAATAAAGTCAGCAAACATACAAAGGTCTCCAGGGCAGGGAGCCATCAGAGACTCTGGCGTCACCGACGGGAATGGTTCTCGCTGACGTGTTAGAAGGCGTGTGAGTTTCTACAGCCTTTCTTGAAAATGTAGAAATGTATATACATTTCTAGCAACATATGTCTGTGTTATGTATTTTTTAAAGGACCACTAGGGTAAGACTGTATAGGCAAGAGTTACTGCAGCATTATTTATGATGCAAAATTCTAGAAAGATCTATCCATATGTGGCAGGTTTAAGGTATCTTTCTACAGTTCAGTTATATGACTCTGAAAAAACAAGTGCATCTGTCAAAATCGCATTTTTGTTTTAAAAAATGTGAGATAAAAAGTGTGTCCATAGATGCACATATATTCTGTGCACAGAGAGCTTTGAATAAACAGAAAAATGCGTGGACTCAGGTTACACTAAACAGGTCGTTGATGCTGCTGTGGAAGAACAGAGTGTTGCTCTTTATCTTATATATACCCTTGCATTTTCGAATTGTTAAAACAAACAGACATCAGCCTTAAAGTTAACCGTCCGTCAAAAATAACTTAATCATACAGAACTACACAGTATACACCTTTAACATGCACACACATGCAATAATCCCCAAATATTCCTTGTAATTATATTTTACAATTTTCTATTTTATAACGATGGTTGTACTCATTTTACTAAAACATATGGAAAAAACCTTGGCACTAGTCACACGACGCTCATTCACAATCTAAATGTAAACGTGTCCACAGGGGCTTCAGCCCAGGAAGGACGCTTCACCAAAGGCCTGTGTGCCCGGCGTGGGGCGACCGTAAGGGAGGGGGCGGGGAAGCAGCACACGTGTGAGCACAAGACCCACACCCCAAACCGCGTGGGCGCCGAGACCCGACGGTGGCTCACGCTCCCGTGCCTGGGACCGGAGCGGGCCGGGCTGGGCCGGAGGGCCTGCGGGGCCCTCCCGGACGCGCGCCCGTTCCCGACCCTGCGAGGGCCCTGGCTGCGTGTCCGGGCTGCCCTCTGGGACCATAAGCCACCTTTCTGCTGATCTCCCTGGAGAGGTTTCCCCTAAACCGCGCGAGTCTGCAGCTCCCCGAAACCTCGGCCTGCCGCTGTCTGCAGGCGAACCACAAGGAGCTGCCGCTCCGTCAAAGGCACAGACCTCACCCCACCACACGCGGGTCTCACCCCTGAAGAGGTGGGTCATGGCGTGTCCGCAGTCATCTGTAAACCTAATTGTGTGTGTGTGTTGGGGGTGCCTGAGCGAAATGTCATGCAGAAAGAAATGGGATGATTTGTACGTAATGGTCCCAGAGGAGGCGCGCAAAGCACCTGAGCGAAGGGAGGCGGCCCAGCTCCGCAAGGCCAGGCTGGCACCCGTGAATGACGCTCACAATGGGAGATGGAGCCAGCGTCACTGAAGACGGATGTGGCTGGACCCGGGAACCGCCAAGGGAAGTCCTGGCAACGGGCGCTGCGGCAACCGCCCGCGACCTGTCCGTGGGCGCACAGCCGAAGCCCGGGCGAGGCGTGCCTCCTCCGGAGGGGGGTCCCCCGGGCACCGCAGGATCGAAGCCTCCGTGCCAGCCCTGTGTTCCCGCGACAAAGCATGGACGCCCCTCGGCTTTCTGCGCGGTTCAGACCGACAGGGTGCCGACGTCCTGAGGCCATAGCTAGAATGTGTATTTGTAGATCAATGGCGTGAAATTTCAGTGTCGTGCGCCAATCACGTGAGCTCGGTGGTTAGTACAGTTTGGATCCTGCAAAGTAACCCACTTTCACGGGCTTTGGAGTCTGCGAGTCTGAGGCCCACAGGCGGCCCTGTGAGGAAGCTTGTAAAGGACGTCCCTTTGAAAGCGCCCCCTCCTGTGGGACCCACTTAAAGTCTAGTTCATCTGCCCAATACCCTCAGAATATACCGTCAGAAATTTTGTCCAATACAGTATCCAAAGCCAATAAAAAGGGCACATATAACAAAACACATATACACAGTTACATTTCTACTTCGATATAACTATACTTATGTTTATGTAAATATAAAGTAAATATAAATTGATGCCATATTACATTCCTGCTTTTAAATATAAATTGACTCTAGATAACTCTTCCTGGGCTGCTCAACTTTTAAAAGTCCGTCTCACCTGTGCGACTGGTTATTAAGGTTTAGCGAGCCGGTCTGGTACATCTCTTCCAGCTGCTTCCTGTTCCCGAAGTACAGGGCGAGGTCGGTGGCGATGATGGCTTTGCGGATGATCTCAAGCACCTGTTCGTACTCGCTGGAGCTCAGGGTGGAGAAGATGTTGTGCCCTTCCAGCTGGGGGGAAACACAGGGGAACACCACCAATAAGGCGCACAAGCTCGGATCGGGGGCGCTTTGGGCCCCTTGAACAAGAGTCAGTTGATGGCCCTGGGCGCGCAGACGCGGGTGTCGGGGAATGAAAGAACCGTCTGAAGTGACTAATGGCATTAACGTTGTGGTTTCTCTTTAAGCTACGGCCGTGACGCTCTCCCGTCAATGAACTATTTACACCGCGGTGACATCATTTGCTACCACAAAACCCCAACGGTTTAACTACATACCTAGTTTGGGGACATTTCTAACCAGCAATTAAAGGGCTGGAAAATGTAAAATATTTCCGTAAGAAAACTTCTCTTCTTAAATTAAAGGCGGTCGTAATTTTTATGTTATCCTGAAAATTACGGGGCATAGGGAGCCATCTCTGCCCCTGGCCACATCAGCACACCTAACAAATGACCGCTCCACCGTTTCTCTGTCTGCAAAGAAAATGTCCCACCACCTCAGAATACGGGGCACTGCGGCACCTTCAAAACCCTCCCCACGGGTGGGTACTTCGACGTCGCACACCGATCCCCAGGCAGAAGGCCCCCCCTCTGTCCTTGAAACCAGCACAGCATGGCATCCCTCCCAACAAGGCCTGGAAGGGGACTTTTTAAAAACTCTTCACAGGAATTCCTCTCTCTGAGAAGTTAAGTTTTTTATTTGTAATTGAGACAAAAATGGGTCTTCTCAAACAGAAAGGATTGAGATCATTAAGATGCAGTAAATTTTTGTGGGTTCGTCCATTACTTTTTAATTATTTCATTATCCGTCGTCGTAGTCCTACCCTCAGTTGATTCTTAAGTGTTTTCACTTGTAAGCTACCGTTATGGGCTGACAACACACAGTAAAACTTACAATTAGTAAAGGGTGTTTCTTTACAAAATCAGGCATCTCAGTAACACGGTCTGCCTCCTATCGCTCTGAAGTGAAGCTGTTGGTGCATCACTTGATCTCATTCATCAGAATCTTTCTGTATTACTTACTCTTACGGTTTCATAAATATTTAAACTGTCCTACGATAAAGGCAGCAGTCGGTCAGTTTCGGTTGGCTATTGTCCCACCAACACTGACGGAAGGCCTCCGTGTGCACGACACTCTACGTCTGGAAAGCACCTTTGAATACACGATTCCGCTTTCAAATTACAAGATGTAAAATAGCCTGTCACACCTCTGGAAGCGAAGCATCTGCGGAAACGCACCGAGCTGTCTCTCTGACTAAAGGGAAACCGCGGGGACTGTAAGTCCTGGTCATCGCCGGCATTTCAGGGAGGCGGCCCCCGGAAGCCGCGTCGCCCAGGACAGCAGGGCCGGCCAGGGCTCGGCCAGGCAGGAGCCACTAGCTGCTCAGGATGCGCGTGCGAGGCGCTGGGCGGAGCTGGGTGCCACGGAGGGGCGCTGGTCCCTTACCGGTGGGGACAGGAGTGGGGGGGCAGCCAGGCATGGGCAGCCACGCCAGCCCCTCCCACCCCCGCTCCCACAACTCACTGCAGAGCGTGACTTGACTCAAGAGGGAATCCCTCCCTGCCTTGGGCTGTGCCCCCTGCTCTGCTTTAAGGTGGTCAGCGGGCCTCTGCTTAGCCACTCACTGCCTGTGACCAGGGTTCCCCACATCACCCCCCCACCCCGTGAACACGTATGTGTTCGCGGTGGCCTGGTACCGCCACACCCGCCTGTGACCGGCAGGGCGCCTGCAGACCGACCGCATGAGTTCCACGTATTTATATGCCTCACCCTCTCCCTCGCCAACGAACCCCCCGCTGCAGGCGGAACACAGGTGAGCGCGCTGGTGAGCGTTCCTTAATCCGCAACAGGGCCACCCCAGGCCGCGCTGAGGTCTCCCGTGGGCGCGTTGGAGCGTGCCCTGCGGGGCCGCAGGCGCACCGCCCAAGACAGGCGGGGACCCGTTTTAAAGGAGCTGCCTGCTCCGCCAGCGACTTCGGGTTCTTTCTTTCATTACTTTTCAATATTGAAGGAGGAGAAGCTTGGGACAGGACCTTTACAGTGGAAGCTTGGGACCAGAACGCTGTCAGGGCCACCTCTCCTTGTGTGACAATGGAATGGACACATCACCGAACCTCCGTGCTGCTCACGATTCTCCTTTGCGACATGGAATAATGCCGACCTCACAGGAGACCACAGACATGAAAAACGTGAGCTTGCACAAAAAAAGTAAGCGTTCGGCTGACAGGAAGAGCTCAGTAAGTGACAACATGATGCCGCGGGGGACGGCGAGGCGTCGGTCCGTCCACCAGTGCAGCGTTTGCCGCCAGAGTCCAGGGAGAGCGAGAAGGAGCACCCAGCTCACACCCCGGTGCGCCCGGGAGGGAACGTGGCGGCCCAAGGCCGTGTCCACGCCGAACACGCCTGCCCGCAGGGACGGACCGAAGCAAGCCTCTGCGTCACGCCTGTTAGGCTTTCAAAACAGGCAACGATTTTATCACAATCGCAGCAGACAGCAGCAACTCTTCCTCGTGCAAACTGGGAGAACACGTTAGCTCTGCCACGGAAATGCCACTGCTGTAAAAAGTCACGACGATGTCACGGGATCCCAAAATGCTGCGTATAAAGATAGCGCTCTCCAAATCGGAACACATTTCAAAAGCCTGGGATAATGCGGCATGAACGGCATACTGAGAAAATGTTCTTAATAAGGAGAATAATCATTCCTAATCGGTCTGTTTTCTGAAATTTTGACTTTTTAGTACTTAACACGGGATCGTTACAGAAGGCAAGTGACAGAAAAAGCGCAGCTTCAAACTCCAAAATAATCATTAGCGTCTCGGGAGGAGGGCGAATCAACGTCCTCGACGCCGGGGCACTACCGGGCCTGTCACGGTGGCTGCGACGGGGCGGGGCCCGGTGGGAAGGTGCCACCGTCCCCTGGGCTGTCACCGTCCACGCCGGCGGCGAGCTGCCCTGCGGGCCCCACGCACACCCTCGCTCCGAGTACCCGCAGCCGGCGCCCCGAGCGGACGGACCTGCTCTCCGCCCCTCGGGGAAGCCTACAGCTTCCGGTCTGTGAACGTGGCATATAGTTTTGCCAAATCTGAATTCTCTCTCCTTCTCCCCATTTCTCCCTATCTCTCCCTTCACAGGACCACTTCTGCCCACGCCCCCAGACCCGGGGGCCAGCGGCCGGCAGTCACGGAGGCCAATGCAGCGCAGGGACGGTCCCCTGGGCCCGTGACTCAGAGCAGGGAGAGCCCGCTCACCCAGAAAACAACAAAACAACAGGGAATGTTGAGGCCGGTCACGGGCCCGGGGCCACGCCAAGGCACGGCCCTGCGTCAGGCGCCGTGCGCACGGCGCTTGCGCGTCACTCGGGAAAGGGAAGTTGTCCGGAGGCCCAGGAGCCCCTGACGACCTCCCGTCAGGGAAACCACGTGCTTGGACGTGCTCTTGGGAGGCGGCCCTCAGAGGCACCAGCTTGGAGAGACGGCGGTCAGGGCAGGGAAGGAGGTCAGACAGACAAAGGTGGCGAAGGCCCAACTCGGGACGTCAGGTGGGAAAGCCTTTGCGGGACACACGGGAGGCGGCACTGGTCGGAGGGCCCCTCGTGCAGGCGCACCCCGGCCACCGCCACCAGACACCCCCACGACCTGCACTCAGCCCCGCCGCCGCCGGTCGCCACGGGGAACAGCCCTGACGCCCAGACGGCAGGGGCCGCGGGCGGCTCAGCCAAAGCAAAGAACACGAGCTTCCCTCCCCGGTTGGTCCCGCCGGCTCCTTCTGTCCCACCGCCTGCCCTGCCGGGACGGCCCTGAGGCCACAGGAGCCTCTGGGGACAGGCCTTCCTGCTCCCAGGCTGGGACACGGGCGAGAGCCACGGCCTGCCTGCGACCACGGAGCGCGGCCGCCGGGCAGAGCGCAGAGCGGCCACGGGCCGAGCGGGCGGTGGCGCAGTTCTTCCTCCCTGCCGCGGAGCTGCGCTCCAGGACCGGGGCCTGTGCTCGCTCTGCCACCGCGCCCCCCGCCCAGTGGGAGGGGCGCCTGGGAGGCACTCAGCAAGTGCCTGTGCTCCTGAGCTGACTCTGAAGGGGCAAACTTTCTAGGTATGGACGGGTGTCCGTCCGTCCATCCATCCGTCCGTCCATAGGTCGTTAAAGAAAAAAGAGGAAGAACGGGGGCCCGGGGGACGTCAGGAATGGTGGCCACGCGCTGCTCTCAGGGACAGCACCAGGCCACATGCGAGCGGACCGTTCAGCTGCCTGCTGCGTGGGACCTGGAGACAGACCACTGGCGTCTCCGGCGCCTGTCACTTGTACCCGGCAGGCCCTCAGGACAGCGCCTCACGTCTGTTGGTTGTCACCCACCTCTCAGGCCCGGACAGGCCCACCGGGCGGCGCTGGGAGAGGTGCGAGCGGGCCGGCCCAGCCACAGAGGGTCCGGCCGGGGGAGTGAACGGGGGTGGAGAGGGAGCTGCGGGAGACGCGCGGGAGAACGGCCCCGCACGGGGACACCCGGCGGTCGCTCGCTGCCAGAGCCGCTGCCTGCGCACCGTCGACCCTTCCCAGACGCGGGAGCCAGAGGCCTGGCTGGGAGGGCCTCCCTCCCGACGCCACAGCGCCGAGGGTGAGGGGCGGGCAGAGGGCCCACCGTCCAGCATCAGGCGTACTGCCGCGTCAAAGTCAGCTGGGAGGGGAACCGGCCGCCCTGGGGCAGGAGCGGCCTTGTTCAGGGGGTGGCAGGCAGGGCGGGGGAAGACAGGGAAGGGGGGCACATGTATTTTACAGTGAAGTGATGTGTCCTTGTCTAGATAATCACCAAGGACATCTTAAATGCAATAAAATAAAGTTTAAAAACACGGGAAAAAATTAAAAGGACTTCAGGGGGCGCATAGAACCCCGAGTTTGCCTAATTTTCAAGATCTGTCGTTCAGTGAGCTCTGGTTCGAGAGGACGGGAACCCATGCGCGTGACATTCAATGATGCGGACCGACTCCGCCTGCGGGCAGCGCAGACCTGAGCTCCAAGTGCAACCGCAAGACACGCTCGCAATCCCCACACAGGGTTCTCGCCCCCGACCCCAGCCGTGGCGCGCCGGCCGGACACACACCCGCCCCAGCGCCGGCGCGCGCGGCCCGCGGCCCACCTGCAGGATGGACACCGTCTGGGAGAAGTGGTGCTGCTCCATGGTGGACGTGGAGTAGAGTGCGGCGAGCGGGTGGTCGAACTTCTGCAGGTAGCTGTTGCTGAAGCCCCTGTGGTCCAGGTCGTGGCACAGGCAGGCGATCAGCAGCCCTTTGCGCTTGAGAAACAGGGTGGGGCACAGAGGTTCGAACCCAGGACGGAACGAGGGGCCTGCAGCCCTTCGACCCCGAGCGCCGGCCCCGCCCTTCACGCGGCGACACCCTTCTGGAGCTCTGACACCCGAAGGGGCCGAACTTCCGTCATCTCTGCTGCTCTGCTTGTGAACTCGGGAGTCAAGTTACTGCTGAGCTGCCCTCGACTCTGGGAATAAAGTGCGGGTGGTGTCCCATGAGAGCGAACGTTCCGCTTTACAGACGCCGCACATCAGCAGCAGGAGGGGCAGACTCGGTCCTTCGTCAGAAGTGTATTCGCTGTTACATCCTAGCGATGCTCTTGTTACTATCAATTGTGACTCTAACAAGGAAGCCACGCCGCGTGTGCACAGTGGCCGCAGGGAGCAGCGGGAGCCAGGGGCCGGCGCCACGGAGGGCCCCGGGCGGGCGGGGACGTGAGGACGAGCAGGGAAGCAGAGGCCCTGGGACAGGAGGGCGGGCGGGGGGCCGCTGGGGGCGCGCAGCTGCCGGCGGGCCTTCCCTGAGGGTCAGAGGGGCGGGGCGGGGCCCGGAGGCGCGGGGAGAGGACAGAGGGAGAGGGAGCAGGGGAGGCTGAAGACCACACAGGCCTTATGCTCTGAATGACCCATGATGGCAATTTCTGTGTCAAGAGATGACAACTCCCTTCTCCCCGTGGTGAGATGTCCCCTGAGGAAGGACACCAGTTTTTCGGGAGAGGGGAGAGGGGACTCAGCGAGGGCTTTCCCAGGCTTTGCCAGGACCAGGCGCGGAGAGGCCACACTCGGAGGCCGGGCTGGGCTGAGGGGCCCTGAGCCCCGGTGCACAGCCGGGCGAGGCCGTCCCGGAACCTCCCCCGACCCCAGGCTGGAGCTCCCAGGGCAGACTTGTCTCCGGGGCTGGAAGGCGAGGCAAATCATCGGCAGGGCCCCGCTCCCCCGCAGAGGAGGCCCGCCAGCCGAGGCCCTGGGGGTGGTGAGGGCCGGGGGGGCCCATCAGCGCCGGGTCTGCACTGCGCCGGCGTGGGGGCCGTGGGAAAAATGCGCTCTGCCACATCCCTTCAGAAGACTTATGAGGAAGGGGGCTCCAAGAGTCGCTCTTTCCTTGGGGGATCCTTTCGTGAAGTTGGAATTTGGGTATCTACACTTCTTACACAAAATAATAGGATCAACGTTTGGGTCTATAAAACGTGCTTCTACTGATTCACGGAACCCAATCTGCCGGGAACATGTCGCATATCCGTGCCGCCCGTGTGCCCCGGGCGCGGGCGTGAGGCCCGCTCAGGTCTCCAGGCGGGGGGCCCACGCACCTCCAGGTCGGTGAAGAGCCCGCGGTTGTTCTGGAGGATGGCGTACATGCAGTGCGCCACCGTCACCGCGTGCTTCCAGTTGTGGTAAGGGACGCGCCGGTAGTTCTTCTTCACCGACATGATGAAGCGACACAGCTTTTCCAGCTCAAAGCTGTGGGGAAAAGACACGTGGCAGACACCACGGGGAGTCAGGAGCCGCAGCCGGGCGCGCACACCCCGTGCCTGGGCCCCGCCCCGCGGACCCCTGGGTCTCCAGGGGGACCCGGCGCACCGGAGCCTCTTGCCGAGCACCCGGCGGTTCGGAGAGAAGGCCCTCTCGGCTCTGCTCTGACCGGCTCGCTGCCCGCCCAGGGGGCAAGGCCTGCTCGGCTGCAGCTCCGGCCCCGCTCCTGCCCTGCCCTACCCCGGAGTGCCCCGGACGGCACGTCTCCATTCTGCGGAGCGCGTTCCCAGCTACTGTTTTCCGAAAAGCACATTCGGGTGCACACACCGCAAATGTGGATGCATGTCCCATGGGAATTTTCCTCTCAAAGTGTGAATCCAGGTTGTCAAGGCACTCGAAGTGTTAGCAGCAAATGACAAGATCCCGGCACGAGACAGAAGTGACATTGCTGCTATACCACATGGTTATTATATTTTACTTTATATTATCATGTATTTATACTTATTTAAGGGTTAGCAACTTCCTCAATAGATTTTAAAGCAGCTTAAAACAAAAGCACATCAGGGCTAAACAGGGCTCTTTGAAATACCAAAGAAATGAGAGTTCAACAAACTTCCAAAAATATGTACCCTGTATTTTCTCCACTGAAATGTCCGTAAAGTATGTCACTGTAAGAGTTCTAAATGGTCAACCCTTCAAGGACCACCTAAGCCGTACCTAGAGCTGGTTACGCCGTGCGCACCCTTTTAAACCAGCAGACATAAGGAACACGCAGACTTCGGGAGGAAAATAAAGCTTCCTCAGTTCTAGAGAACCTGAGAGCCTCAGGTAGCCCCCTTAGGACAAGGTGAGAGATAGGAGAAGAAAACTGTGCCCTTAGGACAGGCCACGGCGGGCGGGAAGGAAGCACTGGAAGACGCACAACCCTGACTGGTGGACGCGGCACCAGCCTTTGGATTAGGCGGCTCGTTCCGCTCACTCCTAGTCTGACATCCAACGTGAGGGGCACCACGTGAGTGGGCACAACGTGAGTGGGCTCCCACGCGCACGTTAAAGCAGTGGGAGCTTACGTTGAGCGACAACCCGTCTCTTCCGGCTGAACCGCGAGTGTGTCCCGCCTCTGCTGCACGGGCTGCCTGGGTGGCTGAGTGGCTGGGAGCTGGGAGCAGCTGGGCTTGAAGGGAAATAGGCCTGGGGCCGGGGCTCTGCCCAGCAAGTGCGTTCACCTTTGTAACTTTATTTAGAGAAAGCCATTTACACGCGGCACATTTCCGTGGTCGACCACGAAAGCGGCAAGGCGTACAGTATAGGTAGGGAGAGGTCGTCTCACCCCACAGTCTAAAAAGGAAGTTTCCAGGCCATTCCTACCAGGATGTCCCGCAGGAGCGATGGATCATGTAGACAAAAATGCCAGGCCACATGGTTTCGAAAGGACCGATGTCAAAGTGGAACCTGAAACGAAATGAAAAGAAGGCTCGGTTCAGGCCTGGACATAATCGGTATGAACACAGTAGCAAATAAGAAAGCAATGCCGCTTTCCGTCTCTCCAGAGAGCGGCTGAGAAGGCGGGAGCCCAGCCGCCTCGGTCACAGCGCTCTCGTATGCAAAGGGCTCCAGGAGGAATTCCACACATTCCCCTAGGATCTTAGTTCCGTAGCGGCTTCATTGCCGTTGCCTAATTTTCTATGAAACCATCTGTTAACGCAGGATGTTGTGGTTACCACCAGAACAATGAAAAAGTATAAAAACATTACAATGAATAATACACATACATTACACAACTTTTAGATATGGGGGGAGAACCATATCAAATTTTTTTAGAGTTGAAAATTATTTTATCTCCTATTTAAATCTAGAGAAAAGTTTCATAAACAGAAACAGCCAGTGTTATTACCTATTTTCCATTTGCGAATTTAGTTAGCAAAGAATGGAGCTCCCTGATTGGCTGTAGTGTGAAGACACACAAAGAACGGAGCTCCCTGATTGGCTGTAGTGTGAAGACACACAAAGAACGGAGCTCCCTGATTGGCTGCAGTGTGAAGACACACAGAGAACGGAGCTCCCTGATTGGCTGCGGTGCGAAGCCTCCGGGCTCTCTGTGAGGGGCGGTGCTCAGTGTTCCCATGTCCTGACCTGGAGGCTTTGCCTCCCTGGGCCACCAGGGCAGTGAGGCCACCACCGTCCGATGGCCTCCTTGCTTAATTTAACCACAATGTCTTCCCAATTGCAAGACCATTATCAGCTCTGGGTCACTTGTGGAAATGTTCGATGCCGTTAAATAGTGTTGCCTGGTATTAGTAATGGGTATCCAAATCATCACTGGCCCCACCACCAGGAATGCCATACACTAGCACGGTTAGAAAACAAAGTGTGAAAGTTGAATTATTACTAACTTATCAAATGTAACTTGCAAATTTAAATTTAGACAGAAATGAAAACTTTTAGATGCATGATATTAAATGCCATTTAAATATTAGGTATTATAGATTGTTAAGTGTGCAAAAGACTCACGAGAAAAGCGACCGTTTAGGGTCACTCATCTAAAAATCGTGCTCCAATTTTATGAGATCTGCACAAGTCTCCTAAGATTTGGAATCACCCCGGAAGGAGACCCGGCGCGGTGAGCGCACCCAGGTAACACGGCACGGGACCCCAACTCTGCGCGTGTCTCACGTTAGGTCGCTCAGGCTGGGCGGCTGCCCCGGGAATCGGGAACCTGGAACTGGGAAGGGAACCAGGAACCGGGCGCCTGGAACCGGGAACGGGGGCCGCGCGCGAGGGGCACTCACAGCTCGATCTCCTTGCAGAGCCGCGAGGGCAGCGTGAAGCGCATGAGGCCCTGCCACTCCTCCGCCGTGCAGATGCTGTGGTAGGACAGCTTCTCCATGGTGACCCGGTAGATGCACTCCGAGTGGCGAATCCGGTGGTACATCTGGGCCGCAGCCCCCAGAAAGAAAACGCACGTCATGCGGGCTCAACATCGGGTGTCAAAGAAGCAGAACTGCGAGCGGAACTGCTATCCCTGCCCATGAGCTGCCTTTCCTGCCCATTTCTACCCACTTGCACGCACACTGTGGGTGCAACACAAGTTACCAAAGCCGCCCGAAGAGCCTCACGCTCCTGGAACAGATGCCTCTTCGCCAGACGTTCTCCCTGGGCAGTGAGGCTGCTGGGGACCCCCGTGCCCAAGCCGTGCCCTGGGATGCCCCGCTACAGCACCTGGGGGAGCGCGGTCCGCTGTTCCCCAGCCCCCCGGCCCCATCTAGTCGGGTGTCCTGTCAGAGTGGCCTGGGCGGATGCGGCAGAGACCAAACGAGGCGAGAGGGAGGCCATGTGCTCTCTCTCTCTTTTATTAAAAAATATTTTTGATGTATTAATTTTAGCCTTCTTTTAAAATATTTAACTTGATGCTTGGTGATCTCAAAGTCCTCTCGTCCAAGGGGTCTCTAAAATGTTCGCGTAGGAAATCCTGTGTTGGCAAAGAATTTTGGAAATGCGTGCCTGACAAATGGCGCTCCGTTAGCAATTACGTGCTTATGCACGGTGCTGAAACACTATTTATATGATAAAACACACAGTAAACTAAAAATGTATAAAGATATGTATTTTTATGTTTTACTTACTGAATGAGACCTTTTGTTATTATTGAACAATTACATATTTTAAAATAAAAACACCATAATAAAATGCATATTTTCAGTTGCCAAGCTTTTCCTTTAATACTTTGTGAAACACAATGTCTGGTTCAGTTTAATTTATTTCAGTAGTTTGGCTTTCAGTTATGGAATTTGAGAAAGCTGTGCAGTAAGTGCACGGGCCCACGTGGGATAGAAGGTGGTCCTGGCTCTTCTCAAACATCCACTTATAATTTTGTTCCCTAACAGCTAGTATTTTGGTTGAATTTAAGATACATTTCGATGTTCATGCATGTCTGTCCGTTAATCCTGAGAACTATTCAGCTGAATCTTTATGAACAGAGGTGGGCAAATGTAGGCTTATAGCTGTGAGAACGCAAAACACAGAGTTTATTCTTATATTATTATTTATTAATTATTGCAGCATTTTTCCATGTGAACAACGGTAAACCTACTTTTGCCAACCACTGTACCATCAAATAGGTTCAAACAATGAATCAACTTCCAAGCATCTGTTTCCAAAGTGCCCTCCCTAGGACCGGAGTTTATCTGGAAAAGCAATTACTTCATTCTCAACGTTAATGCCACTCGCCGGGTGAGATTGGGCAAATTAAGCCTCGCGTGTCCATTTTCCTAATGGACGTGCTAAAGCCTCAGTGACGGCTGCTGTGGGGCTGCGCTTCCGGGCGGGAGGCTGCAGGGCGCTGCCTGGCCCAGCGAGGGCTTGGTCGGGTGCGGGCAGGGCCCAGGGTGGTCGCCCCGTGCCCGCCGCCTGGTGCGGAAAAGGCACTCGGCGCTCGGCTGCTGAATTCAGGGAGGAGGAAAGGTTGCACAGTTATCAGATTTGGGCCTAGCCGACTGGTTTCATCCTCACAATGGTTCTGCCCTCGGTCCGTTCATGTTAAATGTCTTCTGATCTAACAGGCACGGAGGTCATCTGCTCTGAAGGGGTCCTCTGTCTAGGCAGCCAACCTGGCAGACTGATCTCCTGCTGGCTCGCTGAGTCATTCCTAACTGTTTCTTTGAGATCATAATATGGACGAGAAAATTAACTGACTTCTAGTTTTAAGACACTTTCTGTTTTTTTAAATGGTTATCTTTCCATTGACATGCCATCTGTTAAAAATAAAATGGAGATGTTGATCAAAAACCTTGCCCTCCCTTTAATCCGATGGAAGGGGGCAAAGTCTAACAGAACTACAGATGGAGAAAGAAAGAATAAAGACAGAGGAGTGTTTCCATGGCCCGTGCGCCTGGCCTCTCGGAGAGGCCTCTTAATCAAACAAGACCGCTGAGCCGAACAACAATAAAGTGAGCTGCTCCGTGACCACCTTCAGGACGAGACGCGATGTTCACGTAGGAAACATGCTCTCGCTGAGGATACGATAATCTATCCAAGAGCAGAAATACCTTGGATTTCCCAGGACCCGCGCACTTAGTCTGGCTTGAAAACGGCCAGCAGTTAAAAGGCATCTCACGCTGCACAAAGCTTTTTCACATTTATGATCTTAAAAATGAACTATTTTTGTGTAAAGCCACGCTACCTCCTTAAGAAGTAACGGCTTCCGATAACCCGTACTCTCATATTTGGTAATTATTTACCAACACTTCAGAGAATGTTGTTTGGATCACACATATACTGATAGAGCTCCTATCACAGACAGATATGATATATATACTACACTACCACAACCCCAAAGTTTTAATACTTACTCTAAATGTTTGATGTAGAATATTATCTTAAGGTAATCATTGAAATATTGAAAGCATAAATATATTGCATTAGAATAAACTTTTGTAGGGTAATGGAAATACACGTTCAGAGAGAAAAGAATACTGTTAAATCGTCCAATCGTAAGGGCTTGTCCTTGTTTTTTTTTTAAATGGACCATACAGGCATCAAGTTGCTACAACACTCAGATTCCATTAAATTCAAGTAAAAGATGATCAAAATCAATATTCAGAGTGTACTGGAAAATACATTCTCTGCAACTTTTAAGCTAAACAAGTGTAAGCTGTCACTCTTTTTACTTATGAGAGAGACACAGAAGATGTTTGAAGGAAAAAGATATCTGAACACTGCGTTAGTTTATTTCCAGCGAGCCAAGCAATACTGACTGTCCCCAGGAGGGACCCTGGTGCCACAGAGGACGACGTGCACACTCAGGAAGCCGCCCTCCCTGAGCCGCGAAGAGCCGTCTCTGGCCGCTGCCGAGCCCTTTTCCCACTTTCCTGCGCCTAGTCTTCCTTAAGCTGTTTCCGCTAGTTATCACGGGATTCCTGCAAAACGCGGTTCAGTCTCCAAAGAAGGCAATTTCCCTAAATTGCTAAGGTGCTAACTCCCATGTACGCCGATTGAGCGTCATAAAAAAGTTCATAAAATTTGCCCCAACTTCAAAATTCTGCTAATATCACTGAAGCATGACTAGAGTTTATGGCATACTAACTGTTCGAGCCGTTTAAAATACTAACATGTCCCAGAAAGATGCTCAACTCAACTCCTTCAAAGTGAGCCTTCCTACAACAAAGAGCGGCCCATTCTGTCATTCAGGACACCGGCCGGACCGCCGTGGGGCCTCGGGGCGGCACCCAGCGGGGGAGCTGCTGGGCAGGTGCGGCCCTGCTCCGCAGAGGACCTTCCGGGGCGGCGTTCAGCTCCAGCCCTTTGCCCCGGTACCCGAGTCGCACACGCGGTCCACATCGCAAACAACGGGAGTCTAGGAAGCGTTTCCTTGTTCCTTTCGGTAGATCTTGTGACCTACAAACCTGATGCGTGAACATTTTACCTTTATTTAACTTCATTTTTTTAAAACAAATTCACACCTTGAAATAAATGCACAATATGAGGTGATTCTTTTTTTTCTTTCTTTCAAGGCATTTCACGGCTTTCCCTAAACTGTGAGCCGCCAAGGCTCACTCTTTTGTTTTATGAAGGAAACGTCCATGTGGAAAAAAGAAAACAAACCCTTCACCTACTTTATTTAAGAGGTGTCATTACCACAGAGGAGTCAGAAAGGCACTTAGAGCGCATCCTTACGTTGGCACAGTGTAAGGCCAAAGCGCAGAAGACGGCAAACATCTTGAAGTTGTTCTCATCCGTTTTGGAAAAGGCACTGCCGCTGATCTTGTTCACCATCTGCACCACGCCGATGACGCTGCCGCGGCTGACGATGGGCATGCAGAGGATGTTCCGGGTCGTGTAGCCCGTGTAGAGGTCCACCTCCCTGCGGGTGGGGGCGGTGGTCGCACCGGGAGACAAACACAGGGCAGAGGCGGGGGGTGAGCGACAGACGCCACCACACGCCTCCGGGCGGTCTTGCCGCTCACATGCTTCTCTTACAAGTAACGGGGATGGAACCCTTGGCTCCTACATTCGAGGGCCACGTGGCGTTGGAAAGTGTTTTATTAAAACATTTTCAAAAAAGTTCTAACCAATTGGTTCTTTTGTTTTCAAGAGAGTTTAGAACAGTAAACAGGAGGCCTTCAGCTTATGGATCGGTTTTAAGTACGCAGCATTAGTAAGGAAAAACAAGCTCTCGAGCCAGAGAAAAATATAATAAATGTGGGGAGAGAGCATGTTCCTTCGACACTGGCTGTATTTCTGGGAGATGGGACTTGCTCAGCAAACATGAGGGGGATTCAGGGCCAGAGCCCTGGCGCCCGCTCCTCGGTGAGCTGCCCCCACCCGCAGGGACGCTCTGGCCTGAGAAGGCAGACGCACTCGCTCTGACCGGTCACAGAGGAGGAGGCCGGGACAGAGGCAGAGGACACGGGGGCTGGGAGTGAGGCCCCGCCCAGAGGCGGCCATGGGGCCAGAGGCGGCAGGGGCTGGGGAGCCCGGGGGCTGGGCTGCTCTCCCCGAGGCTGGCATTTCTGCGACCCGTGCACCCTGTGCCTGCACAGTGGCCCAGCCCCCGACCGCCGAGCAGTATTCCAGGGCGTGGAGGGGCACGTTTTATGCATCCCTTCATCAGGTAGCGGGCATTGTTACATTGTAACGGCCAGGTTGCAGCAGTTACAGATGCTGCTGCTTGGGAGATCTGCGTATGCACCTTTGTGTTGACAGATGCTAACATTTTTCTTGGAGAAAAACCGCATCTTGCCATGTATAATGCACACCCACGTTTTTGTGCACATTATACACCGGGTCATTAGGCCCACAGTATGTAATTATTACACCTATGTATAATGCTCATCCTTATTGTTCTCTCAGAAATTTGGGCAAAAATGTGCACATGATACACGGCAAAATACAGTAGCTAGCCATGGGGCTGACCGAGCACAGTCAGTAACGCTGAACTTTACAAGAAACCGCGAGGCCACTCTCCAAAGGGGCTGCCCCGCCTCCTCTCCCGCCGGTAAAGCCCAAGCCTCGCAGCCCCCCTGCCCCGATGGCCCCCTGCGCCCTGGCCGCCCTTGCCCGGGTGCACCTGCACGAACTGTAGCCGTTCAAGCTGGCGGGGAGCGGGGCCTGCGGTCAGCTAAGTTCACGCCGCCCTCACCCTAACACCCGGCCAGGTGCTGAACGGCCGTTTCGGTCTCTCCTTTTGTGCAGTAACTGTTAAAATCTTGTGCCCTCTTTATTAAATTGGGTTAACTTATTATCAGGTTGAGAGAGCTGTTTATACATTCTGGATACAAGTATTTTGCCTGACATATGTGTCATAAACATTTTCTCACAATCTGTTCCTTGTCTTTTCATGTTGTTAATAGTTGACCTACACATTTTTTAGACAAAGGTTTTACCAAAAGATATGTAAGTATTTTCAATATGTAAGCATTAAAATAACAAGTTTGGGGTTTTTTTGAAAAAAATTGAGGTTTTCAGCATACTTTTTATTGATAAAACATATAACTAGGATATATCTGTGTTTATATACAAGTTGTATATATTTGACATTAATCAAATACCTGATAAAGCTTCCTATTATTTATTTTATTTCAGTGTCTCTTAAACTGAATGTTTGACTCAACTGAACACTCTGGTCAAAATATCTGAACTATTACTTCTTAATAATCATAGCATCAATCTTAAGACTCACTTTCTAGAGATTTATTAAAATTACATTTATATAATTTGGTTTCTAGTTCTCCAAAGAAACTCAGTACAAAACAAAATCTTTATAAATTATCCTCCTCCAACCTTAGTAATAGCGGATAAAAGCTGCACTGTGCTTTCAGTTCCTCCTTCGCGCGTTGGGTAAAGGTGACAGACATTTTTTGCATATGTTCTCTAGGCCCGAAAACAAAACCAAAACTGCAAAGTAAGCACTGCCGTGCCCAACGTACGGATGAGGAAACTCGGGCCCAGAGGTCAAGTCGCTGCCCCCGGCCGCTCTGGCGCTGAGGGACAGCGCGCGGCGGCCGCATCCCCGCGGCGGGAGCCGACGCCGCCGTACCTGTTAAAGCGCGGGTCGGCATAGGCATCTGGAATGTTCAGCACTTCCCCCGTTCTTGCTACTTGCCCGGCGATCCCTTTCTCAATCGAAAACCTGCACACGAGAGAGACAGGGGCAGGAGCATTAACACACAGGCGCTGCGACGGGATGCGAAACAGTTACACCGCTCAGCAGGGAATGGAGAGCAAGGCTGCATGTTAAACACTCGCACTGACTTCGCATCTGCATGTTCCAAGTCACCTTATTATTATAAAATATGCAAAGGTAAAGCTGGAAAACGTCGCGCTGCAATCACTTGAGTACCTTGATTTAAGATGTACTTCGAAGTATGAACTTACACTGAATCACAAATTGAAATTGAAAAATTAATTACATTCTCCTGCACGGACCAATAATAGTCCTTTATTTTGGCAAAATACCTTATAACTGACAATGTGCTTCAACATACGTTTTCTTAGTTAATTCTCACTGTGGTGTGAACTGAGGCCCATGTGGGTTCAGTAATTTGCTAAAATTCCTAAAATACTAACGACACCATAAGAACAAGAATTCAGACCCACAACAGTGTGCTTCCGACCGCACATGTAACCAAAATCCGGGGACACTGACCCTGGGGTACAATACAGCGCAGGAATTTTAAGGCATTTGCGACCCAAGCGCTGCATAAAAACGACACAGTTTAAAACTGGTAGTATTTTTACTAATTTGTTCAATTTAAAAAGTCAACAGACAAGCATTGTCTAAATACACTTAACCAAGTTTTGATATTTATTATTAACACCTTCGATCGTAAATACACTCCCTCACGTAGTTTTCTGATCACAACATTATCATCCGTCACGCACTCATTTTGTAACTTAGCAAAGATGTCGACATTCCACACTATCTGCGTGTCTGGACGGCAGAAAAATAACTGTCATAATATTACATATTCAACATTATAGGAGATAATTCTTATTGAAAGGAAGCCGCACTGCAAGGGTGCGCACTAAGGAAAACGCGGAAGGGCAGCGCGGCAGACTCTTGAAGGAGGAGCCCCGCCCGGCACGCAGGGCTCCGCCCGGGGTTTCTCGTGCCGTGAACCACACGAGCACAACACAGCAGGTGCCGCGAGCAGCGTCGCGAGCCCGCCGCTGCGCGGCCTGTGCTGGGTGTCTCGGTCTGGCGCAGAGTGACCGGGACTTTGCGGCGCATCCTGGGCGGCTGCCCGCCAGCCACGGCCCCCGGCGACCGCAGCCCCTCACTGCTCTCTGGTGCCCCTGAGGGCCTGACTTCCGCGCAGCGAGGGCACTAAACCCTCAGGGCGGCAGGAGGCGCGGCTTCCCCTACAGGCCACATCCAGACCAACTGACGTCTGAAAACGGACCAGCCAAAATATGACGATGAACAAAGCTGGCTCGTGCCTGAAGGTCAGGGTTCCCTGGCTGTGGACCACAGGACCGATCCCCCAGGACTGGGACAGGAGACCCACGGGGCCTGTGCCTTCGCACGTGGGTGGCCCCCTCACTTGACAGGTGGCCCACCGCACAGCCGTTCTCTATGAGTGAGGAACGGTGCCTTCCCGGGTGCTCCCCCCCACGGCACTCTAGAGCATCACGTGGAAAGGAGTGAAACAAGACACACAGAGCAAAAAAAAAGGAAGCAAATGTCTCAAAACATTTCCATTTTTTGGATGTTAAGCTTGATTCTTAAAAGTTTTGTCACAGTGCTCCTTGCAGGTGTTCAGATCGGGACGTTCTGTTCATTTATAAGCGGCAAAAGCTGCCCCTTACAGAACGAAGAAGGCTTGAGTTTCCAGACGCAACCGAAGTGTGTTAAATGACTGATTAAAGCGGCTGCTCCGTTACTGAAGAACGTGCCGCAGCCATCCCACACCGCGGCCGTGCCCACCGCCGTCCGGGCTTGGAGACAGCCCCACTGGCCGGGGCGCGGCGGGCGCCCAGCGGTGCGAGCGTGCCCTGCTCCTGGGCACCGGGAAGCCTGCAGGCCCCATCCAGGTGGGGTCGCCTTTACCTACCTGGGAGCACTAGTAAGTTTTTCCAACATGATTTCCAAAAGGACCGCCTCCGGAAGACGGCATTTCCAGGAGTGACGCTAAAGCTTCCTAGGCGCGGTTTCGCTGGCACTGCAATGTCATTCCCAGAAGTACTACCTTCAGGAGGCGGGTCCTGGTGGGAATGATATCACAGTATGACAAGCACTGTCAGCGCACCTGTGAAAGGCACAGAACAGTGGGTGACAGAACAGCTGTGCGGCCGCGCGCGGCGCACGGACGGTCCGCTCCCGGCTGTACCTGATCTCCTTGGTCTTCTTGAAGACGGGCTTTCCTTCCTTTTCCTCTCCGATATCAAAAAGGTCCGAATACAGCTCCTTGTTCTTGTGGTCCACCTGGAAAAGCGCGCAGCGGTCCGCATTCACCAGGTTTTTTGCATATATCTGCGGACGAACAACAAAGCAGGACAGGCCGGTGAGGAGCTCGGGGAGCGTCCCGGTAAACGTCATCACAGATAAGCACCCCTGTCAGCCTGTCTGCACTCGCACTGGATGGGAAATTCGCAGGGTAACTAACGAAACAGAGGCACATAAACACGAAACAGAAACGACACAGCCAGCGCTGACGTGCCAGCCCCCGCAGACCCCGGCTGGAAGCCGGCCGGGCTCCCTGCCGCGGGCCGGGCGCTGGAACACAGTGGACCCCGGACCGGCCCCGCACAGTTGGAAACCCTTGTGTAACTTCTGACTCCCCAAGACGTAAGTGCACCAGCTGCCTCTTGGTATCCACGGGGCCCTGGTTGCAAAATCCACAGATACGCGAGTCCCCTGTAAACCAGCGATTTTCGCCCGGTGCGCCAAAGGGGTTTTTAAAACGTGCAGCACATGACTACTTCGTCAAAGCACCGGTGTTGGCTGGGAAATGCCCGCGTTCCGGCGGCGCTGCGCAGTCCGCGCCTGTCCGAAGGCGAACTGTACTGAGCCCCCTCCGGGCTCAGGGCGGCGGGAAGCGTCCCGTGGTCTGACCCCCTCGGCGTCGTTCGGCCACCCGGGCCCCCCGCCAGAACCTCTCGGACCCCCCTCCCCGATGCCCCCGTGCCGTGGTCTGCGCCTCTGCCCGCTCAAAGGGCAGCTTCCATTCTGACGGGCTGGGGTTCGTGACATGCCAGTTGTAAAAACCACGACCTATAGCCCTCCTGGGACACACGATGTCCCTGTTCACACCCGCTGCGCCTGACCTGCGGCACCGTCTCACCGTCACGGGTGCCAAGTGTTGAGCGTTTCCAAAGTGCCAGGCGTCTTTCATACCTTTCATGTGCATTAACTCACTTAATCCTCACAGTAGCAATATTAAGTCAGGAAACACTTTTATTTCCACTGTACAGAGTTGAGGGAAACTGAGGCACAGAGAGGGCAGCCGTGTGTCCACCACCATCACGCGGCTCGTCAATGGTGGGTCGGGCGTTTGAACACCTCCCGGCCACCTCCGCGCCGGTGCTTCGCCGACAAATCCGCTCTCCCATTTCTGGGTGAAAAGCTGTTATTCACGTCACCATGCTTTTGTTTATCCACTTCCTCCGACAAGTCTTTCTTTCCTGCCTAACAGGCCCACGTCACATCCCCAGTGGGGGCGGGGGGTGCAGCTGGGTGGCAAGCGCCGTGTTCGCTTACAGGGCGAAATCTGGCCACCTCCGTCCTCCAGGTGACAGGCGTGAAACGCTTCCTTGGAGGAGAAGAAGGAATTTCCCTGAGAACAACGGGCATCCCACAGCCTGTGCGTGAGGGGCAGGAACCGCCTTGTGGCCGGAGGACAACAGGTCACCCCGTGCAAAGCCAGCCAAGGACCGAATGGAAAGGAGCCAGCGCGGCCTGGTGGCTGCTGCGCCCAGGCTCCACGCCGGGCTCCACGCCGCTCTCTGTCGCTCCGCCAGCGCTGGCTGGGCCTCCGGGACCAGCGGCTGAGCGGGCCGGGCGCTGTGAGCATCGGAAGCCCCCGCCGCCTGGTCCCCGTTAGCCTGCGGGCTCGGCGGCAGCAGAGCTGCGGCTTCTCCCCACCGCGCTCCCGGGCCGAGAAGGTGCAGAGCGCGGGCCCGCGGGAGTCCGCCGCCAGCCCTCGCCAGCCCCCGGCTTCCTAAGTGAAGGCTGGGGGCGTGGGGCCCTGCTCGTTCCTCCGTGCGCCGCCGAGGGGAGGGCCTCTGCGGCAAAGGGGCGGAGTCCTCACAACAGCATAGGGGCCCTGCATCTGGCCCCTCACAAATATGCGCCCGCCCCAGGTGAGAAGACCTAGGGTCTCCATAACCTGACCCTGTCAGTGAGCACCCCAGGGAGGAGGAGGAGAGAAAGGCCTGGAGGAAGCGCTGAGCAGTGAGCCCTGAGCAGTGAGCGCTGAGCAGTGAACGCCGCCTGCGAGCACAGGAGAAGCGCCCACCCATCTGGCAACAGCGTGAGGCCTTGAATTACTAAGTGACAACAATAGCCCTGCACTGCCGAAGATCAAATATCTGCTGCGAACCTGCATCCCTGGGGCTCGGGGCCCCGTTGGTTGGTTGGTTCTCTGTCACATGTTCGTGATTGTAAAAATCTGGATCAAATGAACAATTTCCTAGAAAAAGGAAAGGAACTTGGGTGTTGAAAAGTTGGAATAGATGCAGAATCATAAAGGCAGATGAAAACTGCCAAAAAAATTACCTCCGTAAAAGCCATCAGGCCCACAGGATTTCAAGTGTAAAATTTTTAAAGGATTTGTAACGAATAAATTCCCATCCAATTTACACTGTTTTGAGTTCAGAAAGAACAAAATTTCTCCAGTTATTTTTGATACCCCTGTGTCAATGGCACTAAAACTCGGCTAATATTCTATAAAAAAAGAAGCTCACAGACCAATTTTCCTGGGAAACAGAAGAAAAATCATACATAAAAATAGTAGCAAATCAGATGCAGGAATAAATTAACATATTACAATATTTTAAAGTTATACTTTATTTAGAACTGCTCAGTATCATAAAGTCTATTATTGTCATTATAAATAGTGATAAAAGAAAAATCACAAAGTTATCTTTATGATTGCTAAAAAATTATGTGATGCAATTCAACACTCATGATAAAAACTTTTAGCAGAGGGGAAGAGAAGACTGTGTCTCCTAACAACATGTTTCTGAAAACGACCGTCCACATCACCTCAACCGGTGAAGTACCGGAGTTACCCCGTGAAGGTTAAGACGAAGACAGGCTCTCGTGTTTGTTGACACAGAATGAGGTAAGAAAAAAGGAGAGTATACATCCTTGGGGAGGCAAAAGTTTTACTATTTGGTGATACTCTTACTGAAAATGCTGAAAGTCCTTTGAAAAGCAATTACAGGCGGTAAGAAAGGCTTCCGTCGTGAGTGCCCCTCGCCCAGCGTTCGCCTTTTCACTTTCCCCGAACTGAACTAATACCCACGGGGGCACAAGGAACTAACAGAGAGCCTAGGCACGTGTCGGTGATGTTTATGAACACGCACCGGCTCGAGGCACGTCTGACAAGAGAGAATGAGAGAGAATCTTTGTGAAGGGCCGTGCAGAGGAGAAAGTAGGTACAAGCACCATTTGGAAAAACAGCGCATGTAGAACTGTATGAAAACCCACCAGCAGAGCGGCCTGGCCACGGGGCCTGCGGAGCAAGCGGGGGCATTCCCGCCGCGCCAGGACCAGGCGGCGACGGGCCGCTCCTGGCACGCGGTGCTCGGAGGTTAGAGGTGCTAAGTGTCTGTTCTGCCCAGGTCAGTCCTGTGCGAGAAGGGGTGTTCTGCCCAAAACGTCCGCGTCTGCTCACTGGAAACACTGAACTAGATGAACTGATGACCTAGGAATTTAAAGATGACCCAGCTTTGCTCACGAGAAACGAGAACTCTCATCTGTGCTACCAAAGGGCCTTCCCCCCAAACCTAACGCCCTGCCCTCGAACGCCCTCCCATCCGGGGTGCCTTTCAAACCCAAGTCTGATCCGGTCCCTCCAGCTCGGCAGCCCAGCTGCCCACAGGCCTGGCGACGGGGGCCTCCCGAGGCCCCGCCTGCGCGGCGGCGCTCCGCGCCGACCCCCGGGGTGCGCCCAGGCCCCCTCGCTGCCCTGCCCTCCCGCGGCCCTCAGACAGGCTCCCCCGGCACCCCCGGCACCCCCGGCCTGGCACCCGCGCCCCGGGCTCACCGCCCGAGCAGCTTGCTGCCCGCCGCGCCCCGCTCCTTCCTTCCCAGGCCCTCCCACGGCCACGCTGCACACTGATGATGCTATTTCATCAATGTCTGTCTGTCTGTCTGTCTGTCCCCCCACCAGCCGGTCAGCCAGGAGGCCAGGCGTCTGCTCGCCACGTCAGAACTCCAGCTGCTGTCTGCGCGGGAGGAAAATAGACGCCCAAGGCGTGTTTTAGCAAAAATGGACGTGCGAGAGCCCAAACGTGTCATAAAAGGAGCTGGAAAGAGAATCGCAGATCCAGCCCCCGGCGAGACCCACGTGGTTTAACAGGGGATTTATATCAGGCTTTGAAGGAACAGATAACTCACTTATTATTCATCCCGCCTTTGTCCATGGAAAGAACGGAGCGTTTCTCAGTTCACCGTGTAAGGGCAGCACAACCCCCAAACCAGCGACCAGACACTTCGAGGAGTGTGGTGTGCGGGTCACATCTCAATAGAGACGTTTTTAAAAACGTTAATACTGTAAGGACTAGTCAGTAAGTGTTTCTTTGTACTCCTAGGACAAGCCGTCACTCTATATTATATCTTCATATTTTATCTTCTTTTTAGGACTTTTCACTTCTTTACAAGCTCCTTAAGTCTTGTCATAACCAAGTAAGTTACTTCTCCCTGTGCAATAAAGTAGCTCTTCACTGTCTAACACCACCCACGTGGCTAATCACTGAAGAAACGCGCTGAAAGCCGCGCACCCTGGTGTCCCTCTGGTCGCCCGTTGTCCCCTTCTGTCTCGCAGGACACTGAGCACACAAGGCCGGCACTGTCTGGCCCTGAGACCAGAGAGAAAGAGGCCGGAGAACAGACACCGTGAAATGTGGCGATGAAGCAACTCCTTAGTGGACAGGACTGCTACGCACTGAGAGAAAAACCAGGAAACCGGGAGGGAGAAAGGCCATTTATTAAAATACACAACGGAGCATACATGTCTCACTCAGGCCTGGTCGCCCCCGGGGAACGGTACATGTCACTCTGGCTGTCGGGGACCGTTCCTCGGCGGAGTCTGGCCAAAGCACCAGAGCCACCCCGTATGCACACAGAGACAGCACTCCACGGTGTGTGGCCTTTGGCTCCCCGCGCCCACGGGCTTTCTAGAAGACGGGGGGGGGGGCTCGGACGGAAGCTAAGCAGGAGGGACCGCACCCCCGCACGGCACGGGTGGGAGTTCCCCACAAGGCCTGCGGGCCGAGGTATTTTGACGACTATAAAAGGAAACCACGCGTTTCCAAAGCTCGCCACCCAGTCATAAAAAACTCTGAGATATTTTTCAATCTGTTATTCAAAACCCTCGGAAACGAACACAAGTGATGAAAAAAACGCAAGACAACCCCTCCAGGTGGCTGTTCGCCCACCGAAAGCAGTTTGCGCGCCTCGTACCCTGGAATGCCCCGCCCCCGTCCGACATGCAGCTAAGGCTCGACCGAAGCGTTCGCAGAAGGAGGCAACATACCATTATGTGTTCAAGTAGAGAATCTATTGCGACTATGTTATCAAAATATGTCCTGAAAGAGAGGACATAAAACATGTCAGTATCTTGGGCAGAACACCGAGCACATTAAACTTAGAATACATTTCCCAGTTTTGTCTACATTTAAATAAAAAGCATAAAGATAGATGTCTGATTTTCTTTCATCTGTGGAACAAGCAATAATAGTATTTTAAAGAAGTAAATGAAACTTTATTACGGATTTCAGTGTGAGGGTTCTAATTTCAGAGGCTACATTAAGTAGCTACTTTACTGATAAGTACTGATGTTGAAAGTTTGCAGCGTTCAACTAAAACTAGGAAGGAATAAAATTGGGTTCATCACATTTAGTATCATTATTAATGATTTTTGATCTGGAATAAAATTATTAAGCTCAATCTCATTAATATGGTGAAAATGTCAAGTACCACTGAAAAATGGAAAAGTTCAAATGTAGCTGAACTGCACCGAGAAAGCCACACAATTCCTTTGAGCAGAAATATCAGAACACAAGGGAGGCAAAGGGCCTAAGGACCTTACAGAGTGAAATACATACTCAGTATTATGAACAGCAAGGAAATATTTTGGAGGCAGCTGGTATATATAAATGAAAACGCAAACCTGAAGAACAGATGAATTAATAGGCATGTACTATAGGGATACGATATGCAAAGAAGTATTCCCAGTGAGAACCAATTGGCAAGGCATGCTTTCAGCATGGGTTCGGGTGGGCTGAGCAATGCGCTCAAGGTTAGGGTAACTCAGAGCACTAAATAATGTCATTGTTTACAGTAGCACTAAGCTACTAATGCAAGCACTAAGCGAAACAATGTAATTGTTCTAGTAGCACTAAGCACTATGTAATTGTCCTTACATAGACAATTATCCAGCCTGACTATGCTAGGACTTGGAACACGCTCACAACCCTGTCCTCTGAGGAATACGCGGCAAGGAAGGTGGTAAATGGGTTTCCAACTGCCGGGTAAGTGGCAAGTGTCATGTGAGGAATTTAACTGCACTCTGGGAAATGGACAAGATATTCAAATACACGACCAAGAGAAGGTAAACGGCTTCCCTCTCTACATGTTTTAAAATAATATGTGTCCTGCAGCTGTTGCTTAATTTTATGTCAAGGAAAACAGATGAACTAGGGGATCAAAAGAGGTCTCATTCCATCCCCTGTTCCTCTAATTTTATATTTAAGAAGATACAGTAACACAGCAGCAGCAACGTCAGGCCAATGCGTCACGGACGCCCTGAGAGAGAGCCGGCCCGAGGGCACCTTCCTCTGGACGGGGAGCTGGGGGCCCAGACCCTGGCCACGCCCGGGGCCGCGGGGCCCGGGGAAGCGCACCGGCCGGGTGCCAGGTCTGCCCGCGGAGCGAAGCCGGCGGGAGCCCGGACGCACTGGCGCCTGGGGCCGCCTGCAGGGCCAGCCGCTGGGGCTTTCCCGGGTCAAGCGCGGGGGGCCGGGCAGCGCTGTCTGTAAGCCACGTCTGAGCTACTGTGCAGGGGGAAGCTAAAGTAACACCAGCAGCAACAGGTCTCAGCCGACCGGCATGCGTGGGAAGTGGCTGGAGGACTTCATGGGAAAGAAGGAGCGAGATCATTGCCTCCCTTATCCTGCTGGTTTCCTCCCACAAACCAGAGACACTGGGTGTCTCCAGTGGGTCCCCCTGAGTCTACGTAGGAAGCCCGCGGCGAGCACTCACTTTGAGACGTCGAGCAGGAAGTCGTTCAGCTCGGTCTGCTTGGCCAGACCCCGGCACACCTGCCGCAGAAAAGAAGGCTGTTATGACAGAGCCGTCTGCTCAGTTAACGGTCAACACTGCCGAAGGCCACCAACTTCATTTCACTTTAAAAGGCACAGCACAGTCACTTAGTTTATCGTGTAATAACAATACCAATGACAACTCATTTTCCCTTGAATGCTTAAACTGCTAAGCCCTTCATATTTATGACCTCACAAGGCCCCCGCAGAACGCGGCAGGGCTGGGACGCACTTGCGTGACCGCGGCACGAGGCCGTCTAGCGCCTGCGCAGGCCCAGACGCGTGCGGGGAGGGCGCGGCCTGTGGAGCTGCCCCTCGAAGCACCGCGCTGGCTGGAGCATGGACGTGGGCGCACCCCAGCCACCCTCCCCCGTCGGGTCCAGGGCTCCCTGCCCCGGAGGTGGCCTCTCTAGCAGCCAGTCCCTCCCCAACCCACGTCGGCAGACGCGGGCCTCGGAACACAGAAGGGCAGCAAAAAGGAGTGGCAGACATGCCGCCGAATCGGAACCTACAGTGTCCTCGCTTTAAACGTCTCGGTAGTTACCGGGGAAGCTCGGTGTGGCCTGGAAATGAGCTCATTTTTTTCTAGAGAACCAGGCATCTGAAATTTTAAGATTTATGTTTTCATGGACCACTTGGTGTAGAGGGTGCTTTAACTTAGGAAATGGAGTCATAAAAATATCAATGTTACTGCCAGTAGGAGATTGTTCCTGGGCTTTTCGGGGAAAACAAAAATCATAATAGGACATATACCATTTATTGCACAAATGATGTACAATTATATATAAAGATACAAAAATAATTGCAAGATATTTAAGGCAGAAAGTAAGTATACATAAATGAGCAGATAAAACTTAGAAATAACTATCTAAGATGCAGGCACAGAGCACAAGGCTCCCTTTTTTTTAACATTTTATTTATTTATTTTTAGAGAGGGGAAGGGAGGGAGAAAGAGAGGGAGACAAACATGAGTAGGGGGTTGCCTCTCCTGCACCCCCTACTGGGGACCTGGCCCGCAACCCAGGCACATACCCTGGACTGGGAATCGAACCAGTGACCCCTTAGTTCGCAGGCTGGTGCTCAATCCACTGAGCCGCACCAGCCAGGGCATGAGGCTCCTTCTTGCCCTGCCCCCCACCTCCACCAAGTCTGAGCTCGGGGCAGCTCCTCTCCAGGGGGCCCCCAAACCCCCCCCAACGCACCTGCACCTGATGGATTGCGACGGAAGCCCAGGCGAGGTTCGCTGTTGCAACCTGAAAAACAAGCACAGAAAATTTTCATTGGCCACGTACAGACATCCCCACAAAGGGCTCTGGCAAAAATGTGTGTGAACAGTTTTTGGAGGTCACTGTGTTTTTGAATATTCTGCCAAACACACAGCGTCAAATACGGACAAGATTTCTCTTTTACATCCTTCCTTTCTTTACAATGGAATTGAATGCTTCCTTGTTCCTCTTCATTTTGGATTAAAAAAAGAAAATCAGTGGATTGAGAGAGCTAGAGTCCAATGATTTTAGTGTAAAATAATTATTTTTAGTTTAATAAAAATATTATTAAAAAGGCCTCTAATGACCGCTCTCTAATGTGATGAAACTGGTTCTCGCACTTTGCTGGCAGATTCTCAAGCCACCAGCTACTCGCCTTCTCTGTTTGTCCGTTCACTGGGCGCCTGCCAGGTGCCAGGCGCTGCTCTCGGTGCTGGAGGAGCAGCACCAAGACCACGGAGCTGACGGGGCAGAGAGAGAGGCAGGACACGCAGGGCGTGAGCGCACCACGCCCCGGCGGGCCACGGGCTCCAGGGCAGAGGAGGCGCCGCAGAGGACAGACAGGTCAGGGCTTGCTGGACAGGGGCGCGCGGGCCGCCCTCTCGGCCACCGCTGCAGGCGGTGCTGGACGTGGGAAGGACGGGAACGCCCGAAGGCTCTGACCGCAGCCGGGGGCCTCGCTCCGGCCCAGTGTGCCTGGAGGAGGGGAGGGGTGGGGCAGGTGTCGCCCGGGATATGGGACGGGGTGCAAGCTCCTGGGGGTGGCGGGCAGGCCACCGTGGTGCTGGGGTTCAGTGTGGAAGGGCCAGTTCCAGCTCAGGGGGGACGAGGGGACGGGACGGGGCTGGAGCCTCTATGCAGGACGTACTCGAGGAAGATGACGTCCGAAGAAACACAGAGATCACCAGGACGTGCGAACTCTCCCAAGCTGTCTACCGCCCGTTGACTTACAGCGTGACATACTTTTAGTTTTATCGTTAGAATGGATTCTTACTTTTAAAAGGCCTACATTTCCTGTTTAATTACTCCCCTCTCTAATATTAGCTGCAAAACAAAGAAGTTTTTAGAAATCGAGATATGACTAGGAAAGCCCTGTTCACCGGATCGCGGCTCAGTGAGCGGCTCGCTGAGCGCCGCCGCCCCCGGGGCCGGTGTGGGCCGGGCGGTGGGTCGCCTCACCTCCTGGTGGCTCAGGCAGAAGGCCTCTTTGCCCCAGTGCCGGTGCAGCTCCAGGATGCCGATGAGGTCGCCGATCGCGGTGACGATGGGCAAACAGAGGACCGACTGGATCCGCGTCCCTGACTCCAGCCCAGTGCCTCGTGGAAAGCGTTCATCCTGAAAAATCACATGAGGAAAGACGTAAATTCCGAAAACGAACTGGAATAACGAAATTCTGATCCCTCTTTCCGTCAGGAATCACCTAATGTTTTTCATCAATAACAAGCAGACCTTTTCAAGGAAAATCCCAACAATCGTGGCCACAATTAAAAACTGCTTCTCTTTAGCACCAGGGAGCCTATCCGCAGTTCCTGCTTTGATATTTACCCTTGTATAAAAGGATGTAACCAATTAATGTATACGAATGCATGTGACAATAAAAGTAACTATCATGGCCTGCATTTATTATTCATCACCTTATATTGCGCCAGAACCTTTACAAGGGCTTTGGAAGTACAAAGTCACCGGTGAAGATCGCCCCAACTGTCAGCACCGTGAAGGGAGCGACCTGTAACGTTTTTCTCTTCTGTTTTGAAGGTTAGAATAACACAAAAGTGGGTGTGAATGAGAGTCATTCCAACTGAGACGCAAAGACTCACTGAATATCCTAATCATCCAGTAATTACCAATTTTTCTCATAGTAAATGGAATTGGTTCTCTTAACGATTTTGTAGCTTAGCAAAACCTCTCAAAAAACACAGGGAAAGCAAATGAATGGATATCAAAGCACTAATTCCATGTATTCAGTTTCTGTATCTGTGGGGTGCTTTTCATGAATCGAGAATAGCACAAATCTATACTCATAATTTACAAATCTTTTGAAAGTTTGCATACATAATTGAATATTTCAAATAACAACTTACATAGTATCTACTTTGAATACTTTTTAAAATGGAACTGTATCTGACACGGAAGCTGTGTAGGTTTAAGGCCACCGCACGCTGAGGCGTGACACAGCGACAGCTTGCAATGTGGCCGCCATCGCAGCCTTCGTTAGCGCCTCTGCTGTCTCCCCTCACGGTCGTTCCTCTCGGTGACGGTGCGAATTAAGACCTGGTACCCTAACAAGCTTGATCATTATAATACAACATCAGTGTCTATATTCAACTATGTTATATCACACTTACTACTTCCACCACGTTCCTTTTTCTTTCTTTTTTAAAAAACCACCAGTTACCTGATCCGCTCAAGATCACACAGACAGCAGCAGAGCCAGAATTAAAACCCAGATTTCAGGGGTCAGATGAATAATTCCTCCAAGCAAATTCACTCCACCTGGAGGCTTGTCTGTGCCCTCGTCACCGGGGAAGGCAACGCGCGCGTGGCCGCACTGCATCACCACGCTCACACGGACCGTGGAGGCCGAGACCGCACCGGGCTCCATGCGGCCACGCTCCCCGGGCCCGTCTCCCCCGACCGGCGCACGGAACGGAGCCTGGGCCTGGCCACGGGGTTCGCTCGGCCGGGGGAGGGGAGAGAACGGGATGCGGGCGTAGGCCCCGGGTGTGTTCTGGCTCCTTCTCCAGGACCCCGCCCGGCGCCCACGCTGGGGAGGTGGGGGCGAGATCCACAGGACACGCGGGTCCTCGGAGACCAGCCTGCTCCTACAGGGGCCCACTGATGTCAGACGTGTAAGCAACCCAGCCACACACAGTCCAGAACAGCAAAAGGGCCTGGTCCAGAGACTCGTGGGGACAGCGGGCACCGCTGGGGGTCCGCGCCGAAACTTGAGGGCGCCTGCCACATAGCAATGGCTGTTCATCGACAGACATCCTGCTCGGACATGAAACACGGGACAGTCATCATTTAGCTCTTGCGAAGATAAACACGCATTTGTACGCTTCCCTGTATTGGCATGTGTTCAAATGAAACTATACGAATAGAACTCTTCATGAGTATGTAAGTTTTGGTTTTCTGAGTACAAAGAATTTGTTTACTTACAAATTCATGTATCGACCTCTGTCTTGCTTTAATGCGTTAATGAAATGCCCGTCAGGATGACGTGCCACCTCTCTCGGCTAAGCACTTCAGATCGCACAGGGCACCGAGACGGAGAAGCCACTTACCCCGAGGATGTCTTCCACCAGCAACGTCTTCCGGGACTTGGCCACGTAGGCGGAGGTGGTGGTGCCCTGGGCGATGGGCCCCGCGGGGACGAGCCGGGGTCGCCCCTCCTTGATTCCAGGCGGGGTGAACACGCACAGGCTCTGGCGAGAAGGAAGGAACACGCTTTGTAGACTTTCCTGTACCCGGCACCGCACAGCGAGACTCCCAGACACGAGGGAGCAGTCCCAACAGGTCTGGGCAGGACGGCGCTGTGCCACGGTCAGACTGCGGCGCCCGGGGTGAGACTCCGCCACTCCGCCTGCGCGCCCGCCGCAGGCCAGAGGCAGGACGTACGGGACAGTCTGCACAGGCAGGCTCGGCAGGCGGCCTACTAGGCGGATCGATACAAGACACTAAGGCGAAAAAGCAGCAGCAAGCTGGCCTTCGCTCAGGACAGCGTCACACGCGAACCCGGCCCGACCTGCCTGCGGACCTGGCCACGGACCTCACGACGGTGTCGGGGGCCACACGTCGAACGGCTTCGGTCAGGTTTCCCACTTTCATCGAAAATCCCTCCTTGCCAGGAGATCTTGCTGTAAGACTCAGTCACCCGCTCCTCACGCTGGCCGGTCAAGCGGCGACTCGGGGCGCTCCTGGCAAAGCCTGGCTGTGCCCCGAGTGCCACATCGCGGGCCAGCCGGGCGTCCTTCCCTCCCCAACGGCTGGGGGTGGGGTGGGGCGGGGGCAGGCGCGACTTTTCAAATAAACATTTTTAAAAATATAATTCGTTCCTTTGACTAAGACAAACCATATTTTTAAATAACTATCTACTAACTCAGAACTGCTCATCTAAGCGAATCACCCGAGATCGCGGGTGGCATTTTGACGTCACTATGTTACGGTCACCACTCAGTTTGAGACGCGCTGAGGCTCAGGCGGCTCCTCCTGACGCCACGTGTCTCCGAAACGGGTTCGCCCTCACTGGGAGGCGGGGCCCTGCTGAGGCGTCAGCCCAGCCTCTGAAGCCAGGCAGGCCCCCGAGACCCTGGCCGTCACTGGCCAGTTCCCGTGAAGGCGGCGAGCTGGGTTTTCTTGCTTTGTAATGTCAAACACCTTTTCTCTTTTTTTTTTCCCAATAAAGTCTTATTTACTATCACCAGAAAGGGGATGAACCTCAGAAACCCGAGCTCTTCCCATCAACAGGGACCGGGGAGGGCGCTGCTGGCGTCCCCTGGTGCCTTAAACAAACCACCCTCTCGGGACAAGCAGCTCCGCGCCGATGATGATTTTATGCGCAAGCGTGTCTGCTTCAGCTAGGACGCTGGTTCAGCCGTATGTGCTGTTAAGCGCACACCTGTGGGAATACAGAGGGTCCGGCAAAGGTCTCTCCTGCCTGAGTGTGGTTGGTAGGTTGATAGTATGGGTGTGATGATTTATAGTTCCAATCTGAACATTTCACCTAAAATGCCACCTGCTGTGCTTGAGTGTGATGTTGTGACATTACAGAATGACATGCTTGTGCGTTTGTAATAAAAAAAAAGGAGCGTTATTTGGGCTGGACCCTGTATTTTCAGTATTTCTATTTTAAAATATTTAAGTATAAATTATACGCTTTGAAAAGGTTTTAAATATTTAACTATATACAAGATGATAAATGACCATTTCACCTTATTTAGTTTTAAAGGGGCTGGAAATCAGAGTCCCTGTTTTTAAAGTTGGTGTAATTCTATTCCGCACCCACGTACGAGGCACAGCCGGGATGGGGCGAGGCCTTGGGTAGAGTCAGCGCCTCCTTGTCGCCGCACCAGCCGGCGCATAAAGACTGACAGAGGAGCAGGGAATGAATCCAGGACAGGAAGAGAGGCGATTTCAAGGCAAAAACGAAAAGGGTGCAGTCTGTTTAGATGGAAGACCGATGGAACTGACAACGACTTGCTCAGACCATGAGAAGGGAACCCCGCGGCGCCACGCGCCCTTCCCCCGCACGGCGCTCCCGTCGCCCTGGGGGCGCGGCGGCTCTGACGGGAAGGACCCCGGCGAGTGGGCAGGGGCGGGCGGCGAGCCCCCACTGCCAGCGTTCCATTTGCTACTGTTGCGGCTGCTGGCATTGCCGTTGGAAGATACACAACACATATCTTTGTTGGATGACTTCGCGATATGCCCATGAAGGTTAGCTGTAATAATATCGTCCAGTTACACTTAGCCTTAGAATTCAACAATGGTAGAATACTTTATACATCCCTGCATTATTAGGTCACTTGTGTAGTATGACAGAACTTTTATCACCTCTCTATAGGGCCACTATATGGTGGACAAAGAAAAAAAAAGGTAAGCAAACACTGGACTAGCAAATATTGAAGCGCTATCCCACGTACAAGGCTTGCTGCAAATAAATGGTGTACAAGTGTTTCCATTACTTGACTGCATCTGAAAAACTTCTCTTTATGGATAAACAATTATCAAAAAATTAAATAATCCTTTACAGTGGGAACTTTCTACCTATTTTACTAATGAGCTCATGATTTTTGATCCTGTCGATCAAATAGAAATATTTCCAGATGAGAGCTGAGGGCACAGGCTAATAAAACATGAAATCACGTCACACTGTCACGGGAGGGCTGAGGCTGGGGTGGGGACCGAACACGCGGCCGCCGTATGACAGACGCCTTCTCCGGGCGCTTTCGCGGCCCCACGTTCTTCCCTCCGCGTGGGTGGCTTCCTACACTGTTTGGGGATTTATGGGTTTTGGGTGCTGTTTTCCCCACTCCATAAAATTCACCTGCGTGAACGCTCCCTTCGTAACACACATTGCGGGACGTGGGCCAGTCCCCGGTTTGACCTGCGTGGTCTCTCATTCACGTTCCTTATGATCTTTGTAGCCAAATGGGACGGTAGGCGGCTCTTACTGCAAACAGGAAAAGTCAGTAACCAGCCTCTGAATTTTACAGGTACCCAAGGACGGAGAGAAGCTCAGTAAGCCTCCTTGCATGTGCCCCCTGGGGGTCCACCAACAGACGGCCGCGGGCTGAAAAGCCCCCTTTCCCAGGAAACTGCCGTCTCCATCACACACGAGCTCCCGTGCGCCGCGTCTGCTTCCGGACGCTCGGCCGGCGGACTCGTCAGCCATACCGTCTAGTTCCCGCGGGGTCACAGCACGTTTCACTTGGCCTGGCTTTGTTTCTTCATGTTTCGCAAGAACCGCAATTTGCTTTATAAGCAATCGCTGGCATTTTTGATGGGCGAGGGGCTTGCGATGATGCATCAACAAACGGTGGTGCAAGTAAGTTCTAAAGAAACTTGCAAAGGAAATAAGGGCTTTATTTTCCCAACTCAGTCATGATTTTTGACATTAGGATTTCACAAGGCTGCTGAGATTAGTCAGATAAAAATATCATACTCACGATTTTCATAAAGGGTGACTGGAACTATGTAAAACGCGACACAATATTTTAGAATGTCCTGACTCTTCGGCTGACACTTCCAGCATCTACGTTGCCCTTAACGCCACGTTGCCTTGGGTCCCTAACACTGACCGCTGTGCTAATGCAGAAATCGAGGAACGCCTTCATCAGCACAAGCGCTTTTCAGCAGCGAGAGATAAAACCTACACCTAAATGCAAGGCGAAGGTTCAGAGCGTCAAACCGCAACCACCAGAGAAGAGATTCAGTGCACTTGGCTGCAGCTGACCCCCGAGGACAGGGGTCCTCGTCCCTACGGACGCCCGTAGGTCACGGCCCGAAGTGAGCCCCGCGCCGCCCCCCGACGGCCTGGAGAACACAGGCAGCGCGGCGGAGGCCGAGGCCCCGCGGTGCCGGGGGCGACCTCACGTGAGCCAGCCAGTGTCTTCCAGTGACAGCGACCTTTCACTCCTAGTTCCGCAGTTCGGTTACATGAACTAGAGAAGACTGGTAACAGTAGTTACAACCGGCAGGTTGGCTCAATGAACAAATGACATCAAAATTATAAAAAGCAAATAAAAAAAGATTTGGTGGAAAACAGGATACGCTATCACAATTTATTTCAAAAACCTCATTTTTTAATGAAATGGGAACATGCCACTCATTGTCAACTAAACAGATGATTCTACTTCGCTTGGTAAGCACCTGCTCTCATCTTTACAGTAAAAATTCAAAGATCTCTTTACTCATGAATCTTCGTTTTTATGTTAAGGCTTTAACTCACAACCAGTTAAATTTTCGAAATACTTTTTAAGATGAAAAAAATTATTTAGGTGCACCATTACTTTTCTTACTGGACACTAGATGGCGCTAGGTAGTAAATGACTTCCATCCCCCTGGAACTTGAATTTGATAAGGAACTTGGCATAATTCTTAAAAATAAACCTACTAAACCTTACTGACAGCTGATAAAAGTCACACAATTATTGTAAACTGCTGGCTCTTAATTGGCTTCTAAAACTGGCAGATGAAAAGCTATCTATGAATTTACTTTATGCACTAAAAATGTTGGAGTATCGTTAGAGTCCTCAAGGTTTTCAGCTTCTACAGGCCGCTCGCATGGATAACACAAAAAACTGCAACGACCACATCATAAAGTATGTCACACACCAGTCAGCTGGAGGATGCGGCCAGGTGTGCAAGAGAAAAGTTGTAAAAATTGTAAAAGTTGAGGTAAGCAGAACCTTAACCGTGGACACATTCGCTCCTCCCTGCCAGCGTTTCCGCCGCGCCTTGTCAGCCCGGCCTCGGCCTGCTCAGGGCCCGGACGCAGAGCGCCCGCTTCCTTTCCGAGCTCCCGACTTCGCACAAACTCCCGCTTCTTCCTAAAGAGTCCTTCAGCTGCCCTCCATACCTCTAGAGGAAGTGGTCTCCCAAGCTCTGCTCAAGCCAGAAACCGCCCGAGTCGCCTTCAGCGGGACCCACGCCAGCGCCCCATCAAACGCGGGACCCTGGGCGCTGCGGGTCCTTCTCTGATCTCTCGGTACCACGTGCTGTAGCTCAGCGTGGGTTTCTCCGTGTCCCCTGTGGGTGGCACACTTTGAGGACAGAGAGGATTTGTTACTTATCCTGGTGTGCTCAGCAATTTCGTACAGTATTTGGTACACGGCAGGTTTGCTGAATGGATACCAGTCATGACAGAACATTTAAACAATGGACGTTAAATGAACTTTTAAAAAGCTTAAGACTCTCTCGTCCAAGT